AATGAGGAGACAAGATACTTTCAAAAGCTGGGAGGAGGGAGAGAAACAAAGGGTCTGTGTGTCTGTCTATATGCTGGTTTCTGCCCGGGATAGACCAGGAATGGAGTCTTAGAACTTTTAGTAAGTAATCTAGCTAGGTATGTGTTAGATTATGATTTCTTTAAATGGCTGAGAAAAGAATTGTGCTGAATAGAATAACTATTTCTGTCTGTGTATCTTTTTTGTAACTTAAGGTTTTGCCTAGAGGGGTTCTCTATGTTTTTGAATCTAATTACCCTGTAAGATATCTACCATCCTGATTTTACAGGGGGGATTTCTTTATTTCTATTTACTTCTATTTTTATTAAAAGTCTTCTTGTAAGAAAACTGAATGCTTTTTCATTGTTCTCAGATCCAAGGGTTTGGGTCTGTGGTCACCTATGCAAATTGGTGAGGCTTTTTATCTAACATTTCCCAGGAAAGGAGGGGTGCAAGTGTTGGGAGGATTGTTCAATGTTCTTAAGATCCAAGGGTCTGGGTCTGTAATCACCTAGGCAAATTGGTGAGGCTTTTTACGAAACCTTGTCCAGGAAGTGGGGTGCAAGGTTTTGGGAAGTATTTTGGGGGGAAAGACGCATCCAAACAGCTCTTCCCCAGTAACCAGTATTAGTTTGGTGGTGGTAGCGGCCAATCCAAGGACAACGGGTGGAATATTTTGTACCTTGGGGAAGTTTTGACCTAAGCTGGTAAAGATAAGCTTAGGAGGTTTTTCATGCAGGTCCCCACATCTGTACCCTAGAGTTCAGAGTGGGGGAGGAACCCTGACAAATGTTGATCTGAGTCAGAATGGCAAGTCATACATTCTTATATAACATTCATGGCCACTGCGTATAACATGTTTAGGAAGAAGGGAAGAACCTCATTTAGAGAGGATATCAAGCCAGTTGGTTTCTAGTGTACTTTATCTTGTCAGAAGTTACAGGGTGGAGTATTTGAAAGGAACAGTGAGCTGGAAGCAGGACATCTAGGTTATCTTCCCACACCTGCCTCAGACTCACTGTATGACCATAAGCAAGCACCTTGGCCACTGAGCACCTCATTTTCCCCATAATGACAATACCCACCTCCCAACTTTAATGAATTATGTGAGGCATAATTGTTCAGAACCAGAGGTGAAAGTAAGACGGTATGGTCCGGTACGGCATACCAGCAAGAGTCGGTACACAGCCGACCGTACCAGGGGGCAGCTTCCCCAGGAGGCAATTTAAAAGGGCCGGAGCCCCGGGCCCTTTAAATCGTGATTTAAAGGACCTGGGGATTTAAAGGCCCGACCCCTTCCAGTTGAGGCCCCAACCCCCTGCTCAGGACCCCAGCCCTGCATATGGGTAAGTCCCTTAAGTTACTTTCATCCCTGTTCAGAACATGCTTTAAGATTTTCAGAGGAGAGAAGCTCAGGTAGTGCAACGTGTTGGATTAGATTATTCTGAAAAGGAAGAGTTGCTCATTTCAAGTATTGGCCAAGACTGGCCAAGCTAAAGCAAAGTTGAATGTTGGTCCTGATGTGTTTACAAAGCAGGGTTGACATTTTCACTATATAATAAAAACAATTATCTGTATTGCTTGACTACAAGTGACAATTCTGTAAGGGAATAGAGAACATTAGGATGCTTTTGGAGGAGGATATGAATTACACTTCAGCTACAGAATAAAGCACGGAAGGACCCTTGAGCCGTGCATGAAATTGCAGAACAACATAGCAGGCATGTCTCTCAACCTCAGTTTAACTGTGAGAGCTTTATGCTGCTGAGAAAAATGTCTTATCTGAATTTTCTCACAGGTAAAACATTAAGCTGTTGCCATTTGTTTCTAAGACATAAGCTGTTGCTCACTCTTTTAAAGCCGAGAGGTGTGGACAAGAGTTGTTCCCTGAGCAATAGGGACTTGGAGAAGGAAGGTGGGTAACAACATCAAACCACTGATGAGTGTTTGTATGGTTTTGAAATCTGCAAATGTTTGAAAAGTTCCCTGTGAAGAATTCAGCATTCAGACCTTTAATCTGGTCACTTGTCAGTTCAGAGTCACAGTTATGGATTGTACTGCACTGTTATTCAACTGATGACATAGCAATAAAAGTTTCCATATTATTCTTGATCCATTAAACCAACAAAAAGCAGATGTGCAATTTAGTGTGACACTCACAGATATGCATGCACCAAGGCCCGAATCCAGAACCCACTGAAGTCAATTGACTTAAATGGACTTTGGATAGGGCTCCAACTCTTTCCCAGCACGTGCTCTGGGTATTGTAACACGATCAGTTACAGACCACAGATACCAATCATTACTTGAAATGATAAAATACTAAATAATCCTTATTAAAAAAATAACTACATATTTAAATGCAGGTGTCTCATTCCTTGCTTCACATAAATGCATCTATTATCATTGGTGTCACTGGAGTCCTTGAAGTTAAACAGAGATTTGAGTTACTAACATACTTTGTTCCCTGTGGGTTGCACAAATGAACTGAGAGGCAAATCTGAATAAGTCCCTAACTGCACATATTATAAATCAAACTACAGTTACAGAAAGGAGACGCAGTGGGAAGGAAAAGGATCTGCAATGTTTATAACTGATAGAGCGATAAGGCAAAAATTGTGTTTTTCCAAACGTCAGCCCATTGGGGAGCAACTTGAAGCAAAATTCTTCATTTTTATAAAAAGGTGATTTTAACATAGTCCTGTCTGTGGGCAAAATTCTCTACTCCCAGCTGCACAGCCAGCCTCCAGTGAATGTTCTACCCATAATTAGCATCAATTGCTATTCCACATTCAAAATGTGCACTAGAGTCCCAGCATGCAGAGGAGAATTTTGCCCCTTTACTATTATATCCACTTTAAAACTCTTTTTATGCCCTGAATTATCTCCCAAAATATAACTTTTTTGTTTGTTTGCAAACTTTTGGTGAGGGGAATGGGTCTCCTTTGTTCTCCCTCCTTTCAGAAAGGGGATTATGTGTGATTCCCACAATGTTTTTTGACAAAAACAACCATTACAGAAAAGATCATAAATGTACGGGAAGTTAAAGGAGAGAACAGTGAAGGAATGAATTCAAGATGCATGTGTTCCTTCCTCCATCTCCTCCAAACTCTCCATGCCAAGGCCCAAATGTGGAACAAACATGACACAGACCCAAAATCGGGAACACACCAAAATTATTAATTCAGGCAATTTCAAACCCGGCAGGATTCCATCGTGTTGTGTAATCAGTCTTTTGATAGCAGCAGTTTCCAGACTCTTTATTTCTGATGTAAAATAACTGTCCATAATAAAAGTCTGTCACAATGGCGGAGAGGGGTATAAGTAACTTTAACACTAAAATGAGTGATGTTCCCTCGTGATGAGGGACATTTGAGAGCCATGGCTCTGCAGGTGTGCCATTTTTCTGAGAAAGCAAAAGTCAGAGCAAGACGAAGCTGAAAGGATCTCGTAGTAAATGAAGTGACTTTCCCTCACATACACCCCTATTGCCCTCATCCCAGAGATCTGAAACATTAGCTATAATATTACAATATCAGCCATTCAAACATCATGAGTGCGGCCCCGGAAATCATGAGATTAGTTTAAAATCATGACTTTTTCTAAAACAATAAATGTGGGGTTCCTTTTGCTTTCTGGACTTTGAGCTTTTTTAAGGGTCACATTTTCAAGCTTTTCTTCACAACCACGGGTGGGGGGGAGGAGGGAGAAGGCGGCTGCGCCCTTCACAAAGATGGCGCCTGTTCTCTGTCTGTCTTCCCCCGCCTTTCCCCCCGGCCCGCGACGGTCAGAACGCCCATCACAAAGATGGCGGCCGCTGCGTGCGTGGCGTAGTGTCGTCAGCACGGCGGCGGGCGACGTCCGAGCTCGTCCCGGAAGCGGCGCGGCGCCGGCTGGGGCGGGGGAGGCAGCTGGAGCTGGCGGCGCCCGGCCAGAGCCGCCCCCTCCTGGGCGTCTTATGAGGACCCGAAAGGTGAGGAGAGCCCGAGCCCGGAGCGGCTCTGGCTGGGCCAGTCAGGCTCCCGTGGGGTGGGGGCTACACGGTCAAAGCGCCCCCCCCCGAGCGCCCCTCCTCTCTCCACCCCCCTTTACCCTCCAACAGCCCCCCCGTGCGCCCTTTACCCCCCCCGACTGCCCCCAACCAGCGCCCCCCCCGTGCGCCCTTTACCCCCCCAGACTGCCCCCCAACCAGCGCCCCCCCCGTGCGCCCTTTACCCCCCCCGACTGCCCCCAACCAGCGCCCCCCCCGTGCGCCCTTTACCCCCCCAGACTGCCCCCCAACCAGCGCCCCCCCGTGCGCCCTTTACCCCCCCCGACTGCCCCAACCAGCGCCCCCCCGTGCACCCTTTACCCCCCCCAGACTGCCCCAACCAGCGCCCTCCCCGAGCGCCCCTCCTCTCTCCACCCCCCTTTACCCTCCAACAGCCCCCCGTGCGCCCTTTACCCCCCCGACTGCCCCCCAACCAGCGCCCCCCCCGTGCGCCCCTTACCCCCCCGACTGCCCCCCAACCAGCGACCCCCCGTGCGCCCTTTACCCCCCCGACTGCCCCAACCAGCGCCCCCCCGTGCGCCCCTCCTCTCTCCACCCCCTTTACCCTCCAACAGCCCCCCCGTGCGCCCTTTACCCCCCCCCGACTGCCCCAACCAGCGCCCCCCCGTGCGCCCTTTACCCCCCCCCGACTGCCCCAACCAGCGCCCCCCCGTGCGCCCTTTACCCCCCCCCGACTGCCCCAACCAGCGCCCCCCGTGCGCCCTTTACCCCCCCCAGACTTCCCCCAACCAGCACACCCCCCCTCCACCACGCCCTTTGCCCACCCAGAGCGTCCCCACACCCTGCCCTGGTGGGAGCAGCTGTGGGGGGGTGCTGGACAGAGGTTAAAGCCATCTTGTTCCTGTCCCGATCTCTCTTGCTAACCCTAACCACTTCCAAGTTCGGGTGCGGACTTCTCCCACGTGATAAGGAGGCGAACCTCCTGCCTTACCTAAATGGAGAGAGGATTCTGCCTCAGCGGTCTGCCCTGCGTTCCTGTGGGATCTGTGTCAGATTGTTTGGGTGCACACCGTGATACTTTCGGAGAGTCCTTGTTGCTCAAATGGATGCTTCTACTGCTAAAGATTTAACAAAACCCCCACATCCCTTCTGCACTGTAAAATTGCATCTGGTTTAGCTTGCAGATGGAGTGCCATCTTCAGAACGCCAGAAGGCTGGAAACAACACAGCAACCCAGTCTTCATCTCATCAAGAGGTTGATCTTTGCAAATCCACAAAAACAGTGTGTCTGGTAGGAAAAACCTGTGACTTTCACTTTCTGAAATGTTTTAAGAACGTTAAGTAACTTCATTTTGGAGTATGATATAGGGGATGTTTTGACTTTTAGTAAGGCCATGAAAATTATATGTTGTACAAAATGTTTTTAGTTACTTCACCCACTTTGTCTCTGTAATAATATCTTTTATTGGACCAACTTCTGTTAGTGAGAGGGACTAGCTTTTGAGCCACACAGAGCTCTTCTTCAGCTCTGGGAAAGGTACCCTAGAGTGTCACAGCTAAATGCTAAGGGACCATTCAACAGAAATTGGTCCTATAAAAGATATTACCTCAACCACCTTGTCTCCCCAGCATCCTGGGACTGACACGGCTACAGCTAAACTTTAGTTAATTTACACATGATTATCCAGAGAGCAAGGGAGATGGAAATAAACATGCATAACATACATGCCTTGTATTAGCTATATAAATAAACATAGCAATGAACATTTAATATATTGACATATGGAACATTCATTTCGCTTGTTAATATGGATGTGTCAGTAATTTGAGGTACGCCAGATCATATATAACTAATTCTGATTCCTCAGGTTGTTACTTCAGAATATCAGGGTGGCAGTGGCATGTTTTCTAAACATGCAACCAGTGGTGCGTACATGCAAATAAATGCACTGGCACCTTTTCCTTTTCACTCTAAAAACAAGGTTTTTTTGCATATTATGTCTGTACGGAGGTTGAATTGTCCAGTTTTGTATCATAAAACCTTGGCAATGGTTCTAAGGAACAACAGCATACTGTAGAGGAACACACTGGAAGTGAAATCCTGTCTTCCTGTTGACTACTGTACTGGCAGTTAACCTGTTCTGTTTTAAAAAAAAAAAAAAAAAAGTACTCTATAGTAATATGTAGTTTTATCTTGAGTTTATAAAGTGGTAATTTATTTTTCCTTAAACTTACAGTTTCATGGTTGATAATGGCAATAATGAATAGTTAAGGCATTTTCTGGTCAGTCAATGGCTGGTGAGGTTAATGACTCCATTTCTTCAGCAAGTCACTAATTACTAAGAAATAATGTGTCCTCCCCAGCAATCATTATCCCTTACTTTCTGTCTAGGGTTTTACCTTTAATATATGTGCAATGTGGCTTACTTATGGCTGCTGTGGGAACCACAGTTCTTCTGAGGTTTAAAATCTATTTAAACACAGCAACGAAGGGTTTTTTGCATCTAATTATAAACAGCTACAAAATGAGCCACCAGTGTGATCGATTTAGCTTGAGAATTGGTTAAAGAAAACGTTTCAGATTCACTATATTTACATTATTTGATTATATGGCTATGCAAAAAAACACAATCAAGGGAACAAGTTTATACATTGTGGAGTCAGTTTTCTGGATTTGTTGTTCACAGCATAAAGTGCACTGTGGTAAACCATGTGTGTATGTACTGTCTTGTGAATTCCTATACAGCTATCTCATAAAATAAGGTGTATAAAGTTGTTTGTTCTGTTATGGTAATTATCAAGAAGAATATTGTGAAAAATATGATGGGTGATCATCCACATGCTATGTTAGTTCTGTGCTTTCTATAGGAAGAGGATTCCAAATGGTGATTGATTGTTTACATTTCACAAAATTACAATTGCGTCAAATTTTAAACCCACTGTTTATCATAAAATCAACTTTACTTAAGCATATAGCTTTAGATCAAACAGCAGCCCCTTAAAGAACACCCAGTGTTCACTTCATTAAGCTGTTAAGCTCTATATCCAGCCTGCCACTAATGTTGTCTAGTGAAGTTTATTTGAACTAGACCTTAGATCTTCTTTCTTTGTGATAGGCTTCTTCACACAAAGCAACTGACAGACGCCCTTCAAAGAGGCTAAAATGTGAAAAAAACAGTCTAGTGAAACTGCAGTTACAAGAACTTGTATCTGGAAATGGAAGTGTTCGCCGTCTGAAAGAACCAACGGAAACATCTGATGAGACTCAACTCTTGGGAGACTCAGTTGACCCCAATATGAAGCCTTTACAGAGTAAAATCAAAAGTGCACCAAAGATTAATGAAGAGAGAGAGGGGAATGATGATGATATTTCCATAAAACCATCTGCACTGAAGGGAAATAGCTGCCCACCAAAGAAAGAGGAAGGTGAAACTTTTCTGCAAAACCATATCCCAAATGTGGAAGAGGAGAGCAGCTGTGGAACTGCGTTTTCAGATGAGTCTGGGCTGGAGACCGTGGATCTCCAGAAGAAACCAATTCAACTGGACAATAGTGCTTTCTTAGATGAGGACAGTAACCAGCCAATGCCAGTGGATCGATTCTTTGGAAACATTGAGTTCATGCAGGTAAGAAGAATAAATCTCTGAAGTGTTTTTTTTTTGTTTATTTTAATTTTGCTCCTATGAACTCCTTTCTAGCTTCTAGTCTATATGTCCAAAGAATGTTAGAGTGGTGCCAAAACTTCAAGCAAATTTGACCAATATTGACAATCTGTTAGACAAACATAGAATCATAGAATATCAGGGTTGGAAGGGACCTCAGGAGGTCATCTAGTCCAACCCCTGCTCAAAGCATCCTGAGCTATTGGGTACAGCCGGCTGATAATCTTTCAACTGAACATTTTGATGTTTTGTTTTGTTTTGTTTTGGGGGGGGGGGCAGTTTAATCTAAATTGAAACATTTTGCAGGAACTTTTGATTTTTGAAAGGAAAATGTCTAAATGTTTTTTCAGCTTTATCATTTTGTTTTGGTAAGGTAAAATGTTTCATTTCAATAGTGTCAAATTTTTGACTTACTATATTTTAATAATATTAAATATGACAACCAAAACTAAACATTTTTACCTAAGCAAAAGAATGTTTCTGAATCAGGATTTTTGAGAATTTTCCCACAGAACAGAAATTTTCCACCAGCTGAACTAATGGATTGAGTATGGGACAGGATTTTGAGTTCTATTCCCAGATCCACCACTGACACATTGTAATTTTGGACAAGACATAATCTTTTTCCCCAGCTGTTTAATGAGGAATAATACTTAACCATCATACAGGGGTAATGTGCGGATTTGTTTGTAGAGCACTTAGCCCAATTTTTCCCCCCCAAGTATTAAAAAAAGAAAGCAAGAACCACACATTAAGGCAGATGTTAAGAGCAAAAAATGAGCAGTTTGAGCAGGCTCACCTCAGACTGCTTTTGCTTAAGATGTATGTGAACACAGTCAGCTGCAGTAGAGTATATGTTAATGTCTAGCATATACCAGTTGAGGAACCTGTATAAAGTAATGTGAAATGTCTGTATGGGAGGGCTGTTTAGTTGCTACAGCAGCTGGCTTTTGTTAATAAATTCTCTTTCTTAAAGGACCTCCCAGCAGCTGCAGTCACGTGCACCACAATGAGCAGGCGAGAATTTAGAAAGCTGCACTTCATTGCAAAGGAAGACGATGACGACGACGACGATGCACTTTAAGCACAGAATGCAAAAAACATAACTTTTATAGTTGTTAAATTGTCTCTTTCTATAAGTCTGTTAAAATAATTAGTGATCCTATTATAATTAGCTGCCCTACCCATCACATTTCACTGGCATGACATCTTTGTGCAAGTGCCTTTCCTAGAGAAACTGTCTAGGAATCCTAGACAAAACCCCGAAGCTGGGTGTGGAAGAGAGTGAGTGCCTTTACTAGTGAATGTGGAAGTATGAAGTCTGTAGGATTTAGAAGCCACAGCTACTGATTTACCAATTTAACAGCATTAAAGGACTTGTTGCTTTAATAAACTAAGCAATTTTACTTTATCTCTTTGGTGCGAAGAGGAACAGCTAACAAGCATTATGTAAATTTGAGCACGTACAACACAGGTCGCCGTGGGGCTAACAGTGATCTTCTTAAAAAGAAGAAAAACCTTAAAAGCAAAATGTGACTAACACATGTTTGTGTTCTTCATAGGTGCCTAGTAAGTAAGCTGCTGGTACCCAATACCTAAGAGGGAGTCCATCCTGTATTTCTTATGTTGAGTGTTATACCATTTGTTTACTTCTGAAACTAATCAATTCAACTTACAAACCTTTAAATTGTGGTTCTGTTGGGAAAACTGGCCCTGTACAAATGTCAGTGTGGGTTCTGTTTTGTCTCTAGATGACCAGATGTGCTTATTTTACAAACAAGTATGAGAGCTTTACTCTCTGTTCAATGAACTCCACCTACCATCTGAGGTATAAGCTGGGTTTTCTTTCTTTCACATATATTACCAGCAGTAAAGATACTGCAGGATAAATATTGCCCTCATTTATACCTATGTAACCTTACTGTTTTCTTCAGTTGGTTTACACAGCTCTTATTTATGGGAGCTCAGTAAATCTGTTGATGCTCAAGAAGGAATAAAAACTAATCTCTGAGCTTTCTTCAACCATTTATTACTAGATGAATGGGTGTTGGAAGTACAGAATAAGGTTGGTCTGCCTGATTTTCCCAGGTTGTAGTGGTTTTGGAAAATGAGCAGCTTCAAATGACTTCATGAAAATTGTTAGTTCATCTAACATTGGTAACACTTCACTGGCAGTGGTTATTAGGCAATAAGCTTCTAGATCTTTATTTTTGAAACATTTAAGTACTTGCTCTCTATACTTCTAGAAAAGTAGGAAACATCTCAGCAGATGGCTTACATATATATTCATTTCTACAGCTATTGCCTATTAAGCATCCACATAAAAGCTGAATGAATTGTATATATGTTATGTTCATTCACTTATTTTCACTTCTGATATGATATTACTGTCAGCAATGTCTTACTGCTTTTCCTCTTTTCTAATACACAGGCATTCAACTTTTTTTAAATAGTGTAGTTACGATTTTTAACTAAATCTTGCTGTAATCCCTATAGCTTTTGTCTTTCAGGCTTTTGGGGATTTATTTGTAAACCCCTGTCCCTCATAAGTGTCTATTCAGGCGGAATAACATTTATTTTGAATAGCATCTTGAAGGGTGATATTAAATTATTTAGGGAACATACTGTATAGACCACATTAGATTTGTCAGCAGGGCAAGAACAGGATCTTCATTTTGTTGTTACATCTCCAAAAATATCCTGGAGTGAATGTGTAGATTTCTTATTTACTGGTATTAAAAGAGTTACAGATTACTATTCAATTGTTTTGATTGTATAAAGAAGTATATGTTTAAAAATTAACAGGGACAGGTAACTATTGGGTCTGCCATAGCCCTGCTTTAAAAATGCACCCGCTCATTGTATAGCAGCAATGCTGAATGCTTATTTTCTGAGTTTGTTACTCACTTTATATAGTAAAACTTCCCCACTTTGAACAATAAGATGGTACTTTTTTACTAATAACCTAATGCTACTTGGAGTAGTGTTTGCGGTGGAAAAGAGAGAGACGCAAGTACATGGAAAAAACAGACAGGCATGTTGTGACCAGTGTTTCACCAAATGTAAAAACACAACTCTGTGCCAAAAGACATTATTCTAGCCTGACCAATTTATACTTCACTCTATCAGAAGTGGGTCTTAGTTCATTTGATTTTGCACTAGTTGCTTGTACACACCTTATCTCTCCTTTATACTTATGTATGAGGCAAAAGATGCCTGAAAGATCTTTATTAAACAAATATATAAAAATACATTGAAGTTTTACATTAACATAGTTCCTGAGAATTCAGTTGATTTCAGATGGCCTTTTTTAAAAAAAATCATTCACATTTTACTACATAATTAAGAGGTAGAGGGGAGCACAGCTGATGAACAGACAATTATCAAAGATATTGAACATACAATGCCTTTTCCTATAATATCCTTCATATGCAGTACTGCACAACACTGCAAGAAATGTCAAGCAGCCAAGGAAGTTGGAAGATGTTTTTTAAAAAAAAACAAAAGAGGAATATGAACCAAGAAAAAAAAAAGAATCTAGCACCACTGATAGTTTCTTTAGAAAATATGTATGTAAAATAATAGGTTAAAAATGGGAGTCATTAGTAGATTAGAGCAGAGATCACAGGGACACAGAACTGGGAGTAGCTCTGCCACTAACTGTGTGGTAGCCTTTGGTAAATCTAAGGCACATGGATTGTTTGCCCAGCTGTAAGCTCTGTAGAACAACTTAACTACCTCACAGAAAATGAGCTGGGGCCTCAGAAACCAACTGTATGAAAGGTGGAATGACAAATGTTTGAATGAGGTTTGATTGCAGCCACACATATTAGGGAATTTAGCAAGAAGAGATCAATCTATGATGTTCTTTCACTAAGAATTTCAGAAATATTATAAATGGTGTCCTTTCATATAGTTTAGAAAACCACAGCAAAAAGCCATCTTCAGGGAAGTCACTTTGAGACCTTCTGCATTCGCTTTCTTTTTCTGTATATTTTAGTTTTGTCACAGGTGAGATTATGGCTGGCTTTCTTATGGCAAGCAATATGCACTAGTTTTAAATTTTCCAGAGTAAATAGCAACTGATAGAAGTATTCCCAGGCTACTTCCCTTCCATCTTGTTCTTTGACAGCTTCTGCCAGTGTTGGTACAATAGTACGTTTCTTCTCTATTCTGCAATATAAAATGAGGGAAGCATTTTCCATTATTGACCGTAACAAACTTCCTTTTAACAAACCATGTATGCATTCCCTAAAGGAAGGATGGGAGCTAACCTTTCAGTCATGTGTAAGATTTTTCTGCATTGATATTAGGATGTGTGTGGTGGTGATGGTAGTTTTTTTTAAATTCTAAAGAAAGGAGCTCAGCATGAGTAATGTGGACCCTAGAATCCTATGTAATTTCTAATTACATAACACCTGAAACAGCTTTGGGCAGGGGCAGAAATGAAAGACTAGTCACCTGAGGAGCCTAGTGGGGGATGTTTTTAATACACAGAGAAGTTAGGGGTAAGGGAAGAGCAGCTAACAATGAATGTACTAGAATGTAGTATGTATTGTAGATTTCTATCTTGCCACCCATTTCTGCAATATCTGAGTACCTTCCATCTCAGTGGATTTAGGATAAAATGAGCAGACCAACCATCAGACTTCCCCATAAGATGAAAACAAGCTGGGTTGGTATCTTGTTTAATGCTGAAGGTGGACGGTGTGTAACAGGTATGTTTGGTTTAATGTTTTATACGTACATATGATCGAGATTCCACGTACTGAAGAGGATTCTGCTCTCCCTGTTACTGTAGGGATTGATGGAATGTTTACACAGGCAGTAATCCCTGTCAAAAGGACCCTGTAAAAAGATAAAGGCAGTGGGATAGTATCCACCCAGCTAAATGTATTCAACTTGTTGCATAGGAAAAGATATGGGAAGAATCAAGGCCATTCACTGACAAAGCCTGCCTTTGGAAACACAGGATAAAATTTTAATAATTCTTCCCTGCACAAATAAGCAATCAATATCAGTAAGCTAACTTATGCTTGTATTTAATTAGGTATCTAAGTAGTTATCTCTTTCCTCAAATTCCATCACTGTAGAGCAGTGGTGGGCAACCTGCAGCCCATCAGGGTAATCCGCTGGTGGGCTGCAAGACCGTGTTTACATTGACTGTCCTTAGGCACAGCTGCCCGCAGCTCCCAGTGACCACAGTTTGCCGTTCCCGGCCAATAGGAGCTGTGGGAAGCGGCAGGCAGCATGTCCCTGCAGCCCACGCCACTTCCCACAGCTTTCATTGGCTGAGAACAGTGAACCGTGACCACTGGGAGCCATGGGTGGCCGTGCCTAAGGACGGTCAATGTAAACACTGTCTTGCGGCCCACCAGCGGATTACCCTGATAGGTTGCAGGTTGCCCACCACTGCTGTACAGCATGCCAGCACTTGCTGCAGAAGAGAACTCTGGCTAAGAAATGACTGTGAAATGTGTGCCTATGTAAGAGGTGAATGGGGGGCAGCTCTTAGCATGGTGGAACTTTTAACAATGATTGGAAAGCTTGTACTGAAGCCCCTGATACCGCTGCTGTTTTACAACAATTTGTGGATCAGTGGTTCAGGAGAGCAGATGTGAAATCCAATTTTTAGCTTATAAAGGGCAAGAAACAAGTCCTCTTTTAAAGCTGGGTGATTGTTTACACAACCATTGGCACCATGTCCTGCTGAAAGCCTAACGGAAATGTCAGCCTAAATCAGACATTTTACTTAAATAAAATACAGAATCCTGGAAAGCCCTGCCTCCCCTAGTAAGGCTTGAATTTGTTCAGCAGTATGACAATCAGCAAAGGGACACTGTCAACTTAAAAATGTTGTAAATCAGTTAGTTATGTTACCCACACCCTTGATGAATAAAAGAGGTAATATGCCACACTTTGCTTCTCAAAAGTTGGATGCTCAAAGTAATTAGTCAGTTTCACTCTCAGTGCTGCAATGTTTAAAATATCACTCCAAAAAACAACACAAAACACTTGTTGGTCTTAAGTCTTGTTTAAATTTAGTAAAAACACCAAAGAATTTTATCTGAGAACAAATTATGCTGGCAGCGTCCTTCAGTCACTGTAGGTAGGTAAATTATTTCTCTTCAGTTTAATAGTTTGCAGTGCCCAGAGGCTTATTCTGCCTTTAAATGCATAACTCCCATTACAATTTATTTTCATAAGCACAGCACATAAAATATACCTTACACACACTTATTTGTCTTCGAAATAGTTTCTTACTTGACAGGAGAACCATCCCTCAGTAGTGCAAAGGCGGACCGCCGCCTCCTCTCTTCTGTCAAAGTAACAGCCATTATATTTAACAGACTTCAGTTTATCCAACATAAAGTCAGTTATTCTTTTATATTCTGCTTGTGCTGCTGGATGAACAGCTGAAGTATAACTGCTAACCTTTAAGAAAATAAAAAGCACTATGTCATTCCTAGCTCAGACAGTGCCTACTGCACCCTGAATCTACTTAATAAATCCAATAGATTTAAATGTAAAACTTATAGTTCCATGGCTGTTTATGGAAAAAAATTCAGCTGTTCAGGTCTAATGTAAAGATTTATTTTTAATAACAGCTTGAAACCAAGCTACATTCAAAACAGCAATTTTTACCTCTTTCATATAACTTCGTATTCTGCTTTCACAACTGTATCTCATATAACTTGATTTATTCTTAAAGCGAGACTCCATACCTAAAAGAAATAAATATTTTATGACTTGTATAAAAATATCTCAAGCTGTTGTTTTACTTGGCTGGATCTCTAGCTCCTTTTCTTTATGAAATGAAGTGAGTATGATTGTTTATTTGCTTTGCTTCCCTGTTCATAGTGTAAGCACTCTGGACACCAAGAATGCCTTACTATTTTGGCTTTACATAGGGCTCAGTACATTGTTTGCACTTAATAAATCATATACCAATCATTGCTCTTAACGGTATTCCTTGATGGCCCATACCTGGCATACGATGTTTAGTTCCAGGCGCTTCTGTATCAGAAAGATGACAAACTGAAGGGTATTTAGAAAGGAACATCACAATGATTAGGGTACGAGATGGATGGGTTTAAAAGGAGATATTAAAAGAGCCAAATAGATATAGCTTAACTGAGTGACATCTAAAGGGAATAGATATTAAACAAAGAGGAATATACATCAAAAACATCTAAATACTAAAGAGTTGCCCAGAGACTGTATATGTAGAAGAAATGGGAGGCAAGTAAGAGGAATATCTGACAGATCTACTGAACTGTACAATAATGTTCCTAGGCAAATGGCAGGATCCTCTTCACTTGGGTCATTTTAGAATTAGATTTGATAAAGCATAGAGGAGTTGAAGACCTAGACCATGTGTTGTAATCAAATCTAAGAAATTAAAGATGGAAATTGTTTTAAACTATCTCATCTATCATTCTGCTGAGAGATTTAACTGCTATACTGATACAGAACTTACCTTCAAACCACTTTCTGTCTTCCTCTCTGCTTTCCGCCAAAATGTTTTCACTTAGGTTTGATATGAGATCCACTAGAAGCTTCTGTCTCTTGGGAGCCTGCTCATCTGATAGCAGCTTTTGTGCAGCCTCAACAATGTCATCTTTTTGTGCGTAAAATGTATTTAGGAAGTGATCTATGTCACTGACAACTGTAGTTTTAAATGAAGAAAAAAGCAAACTAGTGCTAGGAAAACTTATGTAGTCTGAACTGTGCTTTCAGCTGGGGTTTTGGTGTGTTCCATAAAAAGTTTCTCTGGGACGGAATAAAAAACATTTTAAAAGAGTAATATGCTACTTGCCAACATTTATATCTTAATTAAAAGTAAATCCAAACCCGCACTATTGACTTTCTAGTGTTTCATCAGAAATGTGGGAGCAAAGGGTTTCCCTTCAGGCCAACTTCCCATCACCTTATTCATGATGAACAGCACCTTGCTCAGAGTAGCCCCATTGACTTCAACATGACTACTTGGGGAGTAAGATTCCACTCAGAGCGAGTAAAGGCACCTTTACTTTTATTCTGTGCCTGTTCAAAAACCTACCAGGCTTTTCTCCACCCAAGTAACCAACTCTGAAAAATGAGGGAAATTTCTTCCAGTTTACTTTTACCTTAGTAATAAAGGTTTCAGAGTAGCCGCCGTGTTAGTCTGTATTCGCAAAAAGAAAAGGAGTACTACTGGCACCTTCGAGACTAACAAATTTATCTGAGCATAAGCTTGCTTGAGCTGTAGCTCACAAAAGCTTATGCTCAAATAAATTTGTTAGTCTCGAAGGTGCCAGTAGTACTCCTTTTCTTTTTTCTTAGTAATATAGTAACACATCACGAAAAAGTGGGCAGCCCATTGCACACATTTTTAAAATAAGGGCGTGAACAAAAACCCAATGATAATGCATCCACATGTATTTTTAAGATGACCACTGTAGATTAGCTTTAGTAGTTCAGACTAGTAAATGCATAGTAGAATGTTGTAATGAAATTTTAGTATGGTATCATACTCCTTTTTGCAGATTGGTAAACTGAGGCACAAGGAGGCCTTTACAAGGTCACCTTGAGCAACAGTTGCGAAGATGGAGATAAAATCCCAAGTTCCGACTCCTTCCCTTTTGGGGTTTCGAACTGTGAAACTGTTTAAGCTGCAAGATAAACGGATAAATTTTTCCCACTTACAACCCTGCCAGGTCTCCCCTGGGGCTAGTAGTACAAGGTCTGTATTATCTGGAACGCTGTGGAAGTAACCTTCAGTCAGTTCTGTCCCATCCTCATACAAACAGAGCCGGCAGTCGGGAAAAGGAAGCTGTTCACAAAAAGAACACACACGCACACACAGTTGCACTTTAATGCAGGTACTCTGCAAATGGACCCACAGAAACCTTTACAAGTGAAATCCGTTAAAATAAACAGTGTAACATCAGCGAAGGTGCAAAAATACAGATTCCTCGAGCACCGAGAGGTGCCTCTGCGGCTCCAGAGCCGGGGTCTGCTCCAGGGCTGCCCGCCCTGGACTCTGGGACGGGGTGAAGGTGCAGGGGCCCCATGAAAAGCGGAGTGGTGGGGGGGGGGTATCCGGGAAGACAGGCCCCCCTGCTCTGAGGGCGATGCGCCCCTTACCCCCCACGCTCGGACGCGCCTGCCTGTCGGGGGCGCTCAGGTGCCCTAGCTCTGGGGCACCCACCAACACCCCGCGGGGCCCTTGGGAGGGGGCTGTCCTGACAGCGCCTTGGGCCCGCCCCAGGGGAGCGACGGCGCGGAGCCAGGCCGAGCCCTGGGGCTGCCCGCAGCCGGGCTCGCCGGGGCTCGCACCTGCAGCCGCTTGCCCGCCTTGCGCAGCAGCTCCGGCAGGCTCCGCCCCGCCAGCCCGTACTTCTGGGGGCCGCGCAGCCTGCGGATCTTGAAGGCCTTGGGCCGCGGGGCCATGGCCCAGCCGAGAGCGGGGCCCGAGCCTCTGGCATCAGCAGCTCCCGGGCCCCGGCGCCGCTCGGATCACTGTGCGCATGCTCACAGCTCCGGACGCCGTGAGAGTTACCGAGGCGGGGAAGCAGTCTGTCCCCGCCCCGGCGCCGGCTCGGCTGGCGCATGCGCAGATGTGGCCCGGCCGCGCGGCAGGATGTTGCGCATGCGCAGGGGGCGTGGACTAGGCCGGTTGCCATGAGAGCAGTGGCCCTGGCGATGGCGCCGGAGTGAAGTAGGTTGAGGGCGAGGGCTGCCGGGAAGGGGGGGGTCGTTGCCCCGCTCGGGGTCCTGTCATGCCCGGGGTGAGCGGTAACGGGTGTCCTTGCCCGGCCCCGCCCCCATAGGCCCTGCGACTCACCGTTCCTAGGGGGACCCCAGACCCGGCCGGCCTGGGCAGGGCCGTCTCCTCCCCACAGCACCCCCGGGCTCGGGCCCGGGCCCCCGGGCGAGCCCCTGGCGCTTCCCTGCCGGCCTCGCGTTGCTGGGCGGGAGTCGCCGCCGCACGCTGCATTTGTCCGCCCCCGCCGGAGTCTTTGTCGAGTTTTACACACACCCCCCCCCCCCCAGCGCTTAGGGCCTGGCCCCGCGACCCTTCCCCTTTGACCGCCCTGGAGACAGAGCCTGGCTTTCACCGGGGATGAGCCGCAACCCCCGCTCCCGTTTCTGTGTTCAGCCCTCTGTGCAGGCGTCTCAGCAAGCTCCCCCCGCCCCCCAGTCAAGGGCGCCAGTTGGGCAGGGGAGAGCGGCCCCCCGAGTTTCACACGGGAGGTGTGCAAGCTCCCAGGTGCAGCTCTTCACCACAGCACAGGGCTCGTGTGAGGCTGTGCAAAGGAGAGGTGCCCCTCGGGCAGGGAGTCAGGATTTTGTTTACAAACAGAGGCCGGTTTCAGAGTAGCAGCCCTGTTAGTCTGTATCCGAAAAAGAACAGGAGGACTTGTGGCACCTTAGAGATTAACCAGTTTATTAGAGCATAAGCTTCCGTGGGCTACAGCCCACTTCATCGGATGCATAGAATGGAACATATAGTAAGAAGATATGTATACGTACAGGGACATGAAACAAGGGGTGTTACCATACACACTATAAGGAGAGTGATCAGGTAAGGTGAGCTATTACCAGGAGGAGGGGGGGGGGGAACCTTTTGTAGTGATCAAGATGGGCCATTTCCAGCAGTTGACAAGAAAGTGTGAGGAACAGTAGGGGGGAAAATAAACATGGGGAAATAGTTTTACTTTGTGTAATGACCCATCCACTCCCAGTCTTTATTCAAGGCTAAGTAAATGGTGTCCAGTTTGCAAATTAATTCCAAGTCAGCAGTCTCTTGTTGGAGTCTGTTTTTGAAGTTTTTTTGTTGTAATATTGTGACTTTTTTAGGTCTGTAATCGAGTGACCAAAGAGATTGAAGTGTTCTCCAACTGGTTTTTGAATGTTATAATTCTTGAGGTCTGATTTGTGTCCATTTATTCTTTTACATAGGGACTGTCCGGTTTGGCCAATGTACATGGCAGAGGGGCATTGCTGGCACATGATGGCATAGATCACATTGGTAGATGTGCAGGTGAACGAGCTTCTGATAGTGTGGCTGATGTGATTAGGCCCTATGATGATGTCCCCTGAATAGATATGTGGACACAGTTGGCAGCGGGCTTTGTTGCAAGGATAGGTTCCTGGGTTAGTGGTTTTGTTGTGTGCTGTATGGTTGCTGGTGAGTATTTGCTTCAGGTTGCGGGGCTGTCTGTAGGCAAGGACTGGCCTGTCTCCCAAGATCTGTGAGAATGATGGGTCGTCCTTCAGGATAGGTTGTAGATCCTTGATGATGCACTGGAGAGGTTCTAGTTGGGGGCTGAAGGTGATGGCTAGTGGCGTTCTGTTACTTTCTTTGTTGGGCCTGTCCTGTAGTAGGTGACTTCTGGATACTCTTCTGGCTCTGTCAATCTGTGTCTTTACTTCAGCAGGTGGGTATTGTAGTTGTAAGACTGCTTGATAGAGATCTTGTAGGTGTTTGTCTCTGGCTGAGGGGTTGGAGCAAATGCGGTTGTATCGCAGAGCTTGGCTGTAGACAATGGATCGTGTGGTGTGGTCTGGATGAAAGGTGGAGGCATGTAGGTAAGTATAGCGGTGAGTAGGTTTCCGGTATAGGGTGGTGTTTATGTGACCATTGCTTATTAGCACTGTAGTGTCCAGGAAGTGGCTCTCTTGTGTGGACTGGTCCAGGCTGAAGTTGATGGTGGGATGGAAATTGTTGAAATCATGGTGGAATTCCTCAAGGACTTCTTTCCCATGGGTCCAGATGATGAATGTAGCGCAGAATAGGGGCATTAGGGGACGAGAGCTAAGGAAGCGTGGTTCTAAGTCAGCCATAAAAACGTTGGCATACTGTGGGGCCATGCGGATACCCATAGCAGTGCCACTGATTTCAAGGTATACATTGTCCCCAAATGTGAAATAGTTATGTGAAAAAGTCACAAAGTTCAGCCACCGGGTTTGTCATGACATTATCAGAGATACTGTTCCTGACGGCTTGTAGTCCATCTTTGTGTGGAGTGTTGGTGTAGAGGGCTTCTACATCCATAGTGGCTAGGATGGTGTTTTCAAGAAGATCACCAATGGATTGTAGTTTCCTCAGGAAGTCAGTGGTGTCTCGAAGATAGCTAGGAGTGCTGGTAGCGTAGGGCCTGAGGAGGGAGTCTACATAGCCAGACAATCCTGCTGTCAGGGTGCCAATGCCTGAGATGATGGGGCGTCCAGGATTTCTAGGTTTATGGATCTTGGGTAGCAGATAGAATACCCCTTCTCGGGGTTCTAGGGGTGTGTCTGTGAGGATTTGCTCTTGTGCTTTTTCAGGGAGTTGGCTGGTGATTAAATTAAAGACATGGAAGTTTAGCCTGTAAAAGAGGAATATGTCCCTGGAGAGGGGGGAGGGGTTGTGTTAGAAAGAACAGGGGATTTAGAAGAAATACAGCGAAGCACTGAGCCAAGGTTACATGCAGAAAAGGGGGAGATTTGGGGGTGTAGGTGGAAAGAAGGGGTCAGACCCAGGGCAGGGCTAACCATGTATAGAGAGGTTCCCACTCTACCCATGGTACTTACGTGGCCCCATCACCGCAGTATCTGAGGCTGTGCCTCACAACGTCTAACCTATTTCTCCTCCCAGCCTCTCGGTGAGGTAGAGCAATGCTGTTATCCCCATTGTACAGGTGGAGCACTGAGGCACACAGAGACTAAAGGCCAGATTTTCAAAGGTATTTAGGCACCTAGTGAGGTTTTTCAAATACACTTAGAAGATTTGGTGCTTTGTAAACCCCACTAGGTATCTAACTGCATCTTTGGGTGCCTAAACACCTTTGAAAATCTGTCCTTAAAGCATTGGCCTGGGGTGGGGTCAGACAGGAAGTCCATGGGGAGTAGAACCCAGGTCTCTCAGGGCTAGCTCCCTATCCAGCAGACTAGCCTCTCTCTCTGCTGCATGCTGCAAAAAAGAGGACTCTGATAGATGGGAGCAAAACCATGGCGGCCAGTTCTCTGAGACTCCAGCAAATGGTCCCAGGATGGATGTCATGGTTGACAGCATGAAAAGCAGCACAGAGGTTAGGAAGGATGGAGAATGAGAGTCAGATGAGAGGAGATCACTTAACTCCCAAGGGGTGGCAGGTTCTGCCCCATGCTGGGTTGTAGAGCAATGGCTGCTGTGCAGTTTTACATTTTAACTGAAAACCATTTTGTTCAGTCATTTTTTTGTTCTGAATTTGAGGAAAAAGAAGGAACGAGAAAGTGTCATATAAGTATCAGATGTGTTTATGCCTCAAATTCTTAGGGTTTCAGCTGTATTGAGGCCAATTCCAGAACAAAGAACAGAAACTGCATCCACAGAGTCCATAAAGTCAATGATTGTCATGATTTGCATTATTCACTGGGCACCATCTGTGTGCTCGGCACTCTTCAGAATATGCCAGAAAATCCAGTCCCTGAGCCAATGCGTATAAAATGTGTAAATCTGGATAAGATGGCTCAGATATTTAAATATGAGGTTGTACAGTTATTGACCACTCGTTTTCACATGTTCACTGTGATGTTTATAGCTCTGAGTGGAGGCACTTCTGGCAGAAGTTTTACGTGATTAAGGACTAGAAGATTTGACCCTCCAACTTTCTTTCTAAAGGAAGAGCTGCCCAGAGCTCCTGTGCCTGTTTGTTTTCCTTTCCTGCCTGCAGTTGCTCTGATATACCTCAGAAGTCTGTTTGTTTCTCAACTTTAAAATATAGAATTTTCTTGGTGTTTGGTTTTAAATATTCTCCTGTGAGAACTGCAACACAATTGCTGTAGTGTTGTGTTTAAGAGCCTCCTGAAAAGTAACTAGCTTTTAAACAGAAGTAAGCAGTGTTGCCAACTCTTATTATTTTTGTCATGTGTCTTATGATGATTGTTTTCCTTAAAGCTCCAGCTCCTGGAGTCAAGTGGCTATGTGATTATTTTAGCCTTTGTTCTTAAAGAAAAATGAAGTTTTTAGTCCTCATGGCTGTGGAGAAAGCGTCAAAATGTGACCCCAAAGCACCCTAACATCTCAAAAAGCAGAAGGCAAATAAAAAGAACCCCAAATCTGTTATTTTGACATAATCTCATGATTTTAAAGCCAATCTCATGATTTTTGGGGAGCCAGATTCATCATTTTTGAACATTTGGGATTGGCAATACTGTGAAAGTGTCAGCTTCACTCCTGTTTAAGATTAGTTTCTAGTCTATTATTTATCATGAGATAACACCTCTAGAGCCCCAGGCAGGTGCAGTATAAACTCAGGGGGCCCTGCCCTAGTAGGATGTTTCCAAAATTAAATGATCTACTCCAATCTCGATGAACTGCAAAAAAGTGATAGAAAGTAATCTAGATATTTCTACAATTGTTTCAATTGGTGTATTCAAGAGTTAGTAACAAAGGATATACATTAAAATTTTAAACCTAACCAGTGTTCCTTAAGTGATTTTGACGCAAGATGTGAGAACATGTCAGTATTAGAGCTGAGTGAGTAATATTTATTAAATCCTCTTCTATTTATATTTATATTTATATATATATATATATATATAGGAATTAGATACAGTGCTCCTAATTTTGAAGTTATCTGCAGAAAACAAAAAAAAACCTAAAGTTTTCAGGTGCCTAAGTAGCCCTTGGAATCACAGTTAAAGTTGCCCCCCACTTACCAAAATCTGAAATGGCACCCCTGTGCCCTGTCCCAGGGTCACTGAGAGTTGAGGGGGCTGGAGGAGTGCAGGCTCAGAGAATGTGAGAGATGGGAAAGTGCATGTGCTGTGTTAATACTTGCCACTGTTTGCTGTGCACAAAGCATGATGAGGTGGGCTAGAAGCTTAGCAAAACTGAATTTCCTCCCAAGAGAACCATTTTAACACGTGAAAGTGGACCACAGTAATGGGTGTACAGGGCAGCCCACAAGAGAATGTGTTCTGTGGTGTTAAAGCCTGCTCCAGTCACCAGTGCCAGTGGTCAGGTTGAACTCTATTTAATATTTTTTGTGGTAGGCTCACGGACTCCCAGGATTTTGCATGTATCTCATTTTAATCTAATCATGATACATTTTATTTACTTTGTCAGATGTTATAGACCATTTATGTTAGTTTTCAGAACAGAGTGCAACTCGTGACAAATCAGCTTGTGAGAGTTTAAAACGAGGTGATGAATTTTGAGGCAGATGCTGATGAAAACTGAAAGTGTTCTACTAGGAGGGAGCATTTCTTTTACAGAGTTCACGAACTTTACAGGAGAAGGGAGCTCGTCATCCCTTCCTGCCGCCTACTTTTTGTGTGAAACTACAATGTGCTCAGTTTTCAAAGATAACTTAATACATTACTTCTTAGTTATTTTGTTGCCAATTAACCTGTTTGCAGACCACTCTAAGTGCGGGAATGATGGATATGTTTTACAGACATTCTAGGAAAGCAGGTGTTACATGCTAGCTCTGTATCCTTTTCACTGTGAAATGAGTTCAGTTTTATAAGATCACTAACCAGGAGGCTGTTCTTTGATCAGAGAGATCCATGCACTTTTTTGTGCTTTTGCCCCATGAGCAACTGAGTTATGTGGAGTGTTGTGATATCAGAGGTATTTCGGTAAATCTACTTTTCTCACTTACCAGTTCCATTCATTACATAAGAACAGCCACACTGAGTCAGACCAATGGTCCATCAAGTCCAGTGTCCTGTCTTCTGACAGTGGCCGTTGCCAGATGCTTTAGAGGGAATGATCAGAACAGGGCAATTTATTGAGTGATCCATCCCTTGTTGTCCAGTCCCAACTTCTAGCAGTCAGAGTTTAGGGACATCCAAAGCATAGGGTTGCATTCCTAACCATCTTGGCTAATAGTACAAAGTTCCCTCTGAGTTTGGAAGTTTTTATTGGCTTTATTAAACAATGCTAAAACTAATACCTTTAATATTAATGAGGTTTGATAGGATTTAGATTAAGAATCTGATGTGCTAGTATTTTTATTCAAGAAAGTTCCCATGAAAGTCAACAGTCATTTTGTCTGAGTAGAGACTGCTGGAGTGGGTTGTACTTATTTAGTTGTAGCTTTTATAAAATGAATTAACTTAATTTTAAAAAGTCATTGTTTTATCAGCTCAACTGTGCAGAATGCCACACAAAATTGGATTTGTAGTTATCAGTTCATCAGGACATGAAGATGGCTTCAGTGCAAAAGAACTGATGGTTCATGCACCAACAGTCAATGGATGGAGATCACCAAGGTACTGTAAGTGAAAGAGTTATTTATATTAAGGATGCGTTGAAGTGTCTCTAAAATATGAGATATAAGTAATTCACGGAAATAATTCTACCCTGGGTATCTGATTACATCAAAAAATAAGAAATCTAAGATAGAAAATCATGATTTTGCATAATTGCCTCTCATTCAAGATCACAAAGAGTTTGACAAAATCCAGCCCCAGTCCTGTGAACTGCTCCAGGCAGACTCCTGTGTCCACGTGAGACCCCATCAAAGTCAGCGCCCTGGTTCTGTCTGCCCAAAGCAGATTGCAGGGTGAGGGACCTCACTGGTTGTAAGAACTATGGACCAAGTTCTTTAGTTACCTTTCATCCCACACAGCTCTTATCCCCCAAAACTCCAGAGTGTTCTTAAAAGGGATACCATTAACTTGAAACAAGTCAATTTGAAAAAAAAAAAGGTGATTTTTGGGCACTACATCTGCCTCCAAGTCCTCCTGCCAATTTTTGTGGTTTTACAATCACTTGCCTTCTCTTATTTTTTTTAATGCTTTTCTCTCCACTTCTATTGTGTGACAGGCCCACAGCCCACACATCCAGCAGGGTGACCTGTCTATACATACTGCTGTTAAATAAACAAAGTAAATTGAAAAAAGAGCCCCCACAACACACACACACACCAAAACTTGCTGTAGTGATGTTAGCAGGGCTGCACATTTTGGTGTGCCTGGGCAAGATCTGAAACTGAGGGCCCCCACCCTGCTAAAAAAGTTACCACTGAGGGAAGGTGGGGAATTGGAGAGAGAGCCCACACTACACTCAGCCCGCAGCAGGAGCTTGGCTCCTGTGTCACAGGGCTGGGCCTGGCTCTCTGGTCTGGGCTTTCCAACCTATTACATGGAGTTGCAAAGCCATTGAGGTTTGGTCTGGCTGACCCTCTATTGTGAGTGGCACTATGACCCTGCATGCCAGGCAACAATGTCACTTGGTTTTAGGAGCCCTCTCGAACAAGGGACCTGGGCAAGCTGTCCCTCCTCCCCCCATCCTTCCCAGCATGGCTCTGAATATTAGGGGCTACTTGTAGCAATAAGAGAGAAACAATTTTTAGACAAAGTGTGATGTGATTCAAGTTGGCAATAACTCTTTAAGAAGATGACTATTGAAAATTTTCTTTACTTTCAGACTCTGCCAGTATCCGCAAGAAATCGTCCTTCAGATGGTGGAGAGATGTCGAGTTCGAAAGCTGCAATTACTCGCTCACCAGTATATGATTTCAAGCAAAATTGAGTTCTACATTAGTGAAAATCTGCCTGAGTACTTTGCACCATATCAGTCAGAGAGGTTTCGCAGACTGGGGTAAGTCAAAAGGTGCTAAATGATAGTGTCACTTTAATCAGAAAGGTAAGATTTGGGAAGGGAGTGGTATGTTAGTCACTGGTAAAATGTTGATGTGATGTTAAGGAAATAGGGAAGGGAAATTCTGTCCCCCAGTTGCATCTGTGGAATGCTACAGTAATAAAGTTGAAGTTACTCGAATTGTATGGGTGCAACTGAGGACAACATTTTTCCCTGGACTTTCAGAACACACATGACAGCTGCATTCTTTTCTGTGGTTTTTATTAAACATGGATATAGACATCCAACTAGACTTATTGACCAATATCTCTCAGTACACAAGCTGACATGTCATCTTTTTAAATATGCATGTGGAGCAGGCACAGTTGTTGAAAGAAGAAAAATCTATAAAAAACAGTATGTATTAAGTCCTGTGTTGTTGTTATTTATTTGTATTGTGGTAGTACTTAGAAGCCCCAGTTGTAAGCCTCACTGTGCTAGGTGCCATACAAAAACATGACAAAAATATGATCCATGTCCCAAAGACCTTATACTCTATGTACATGATTTCAATTTTAATATCTTCAGATAGAAAAGTCCTTTTTATTGCAGTTTTAAAGGGATAGTGGTTGCCATAACTTCAGGTGGTTTTATGCATCCCTGTTCTCTGGTATTCTATTAATAGTTGATCATATTTAACACATCAGCTCTTTTAATACATAGGCCCCAGTGCTGCAATTGTGTCCATATGTGTGGCTGCCGGAGTAGAACCCCAAGGGTTCACTCACATGTTTTCTCAATGCAGGCTCAGGGCTATGGGGCTTATTCTACTGAATTGATATAGGAAGTGATCCAAAGCCCCTGGAACTCAGTGTCAAAACGTCTTTTGATTTCAGTGCACTTTGAATTAAGTCTGTAGAGTGCTTTTTTAAAAAGAGAAATGGCATTCTTTATTTCAGTTCTCAATACCATTTTAAAACTTATCAAAATACTAATTTGAATGGATGTTCTATATTAACAAAATATATTTTACTTATTTGCACGTTTTTACACATTCCATCTGCCTTATCAATTTTCTTTCTACAGTTATGTCTCTCTCTCAGACAATGAGAAGACTGGGTACAAAGCACGGGAGCTGAAGTCAGTCTACGTGGATGCAGTAGGACAGTATCTAAAACTCACTTTCCATAAAAATTACATCAATAGATACAACTTATACAGTCAGGTAAGATTAATTAAAATGGTGACTTGATGCTCTAGACAATATTGCCAATATTGGTCCAAGACGGCCATAGCAAAATGCTGCCTTGATTTATAAAACTAAAATTGCCAGTGGGAAGTTGTTGTGAATGAGTAATTCTCAGAAAAATGTCAATTAAAAGTCTGGTGTCTCTTTTCTTTAATGTGCAAATTATTAGCTTCAATTAGCTTCAATATATAGGATTCTAAAGATTTCTATACTACACTTAAGACATTTGGATATAATTGAGAGCTTTCATTTGGCACATTTTCATCCAAGCACTGCATTGTATATTAAGAGTATAGATAATATCTGAAGGTAAAAGTTCTCTTGCTGGCTGCTCTTCTGTCAGATTGGCCAGAAGTGGTATGCAGTGTATCCAGAACAGATTAATCAAGTGTGCAGTTCTATGCTGTTTTTCATTTTGCGCTCTGAGTGCTTATTGTATAATACAGGCAAGACAATTAAGTAGTTACACTGCACATCTTTCCAAAATGAAAGAAGCTGAGAATCACCCTCTCTAACTTTGCATACTTATGCTGTGTATGAATCAGACTTATGTCTACACTACGAAATTAGGTCGAATTTATAGAAGTAGTTTTTTTAGAAATCGTTTTTATATAGTCAATTGTGTGTGTCCCCACACAAAATGCTCTAAGTGCATTCAGTGCATTAACTTGGCGGAGTGCTTCCACAGTACCAACGCTAGCGTCGACTTCCAGAGTGTTGCACTGTGGGTAGCTATCCCACAGTTCCCGCTGCCCATTGGAATTCTGGGTTGAGATCCCAATGCCTGATGGGGCAAAAAACATTGTCGCTGGTGGTTCTGGGTACGTCATCAGGCAGGCCCTCCCTCCCTCTGTGAAAGCAACGGCAGACAATTGTTTCACGCCTTTTTTCCTGAGTTACCTGTGCAGACTCCGTACCATGGCAAGCATGGAGCCCGCTCAGCTCACTGTCACCGTATGTCTCCTGGGTGCTGGCAGACGCGGTACTGCATTGCTACACAGCAGCAGCAACCCATTGCCTTGTGGCAGCAGATGGTACAATAGGCCTGAAAACCATCCTCCTCATGTCCGAGATGCTCCTGGCCGCCTCGGTAAGGTCGGTCAGGAGCGCCTGGGCAGATATGGGCTCAGGGACTAAATTAGGAGTGACTCTATCAGGTAATTCTCTTTAGTCCTGCAGGCAGTCCTATTGTACCATCTATATGGTGAGCAGGCAGGAGGTGTGGATGGCTTGCAGTCCTTCTCCACCGTCTGCTGCCAGCCAAAGATGTAAAAGATAGATCGAGTGGATCAAAACAAAAAATAGACCAGATTTGTTTTGTATTCATTTGCTCCCCCCTCCCTCACTCCCTCCATGAAGTCCTGCCTGAAATACCAGAGGGAGGGATAGCTTAGTGGGTTGAGCATTGGCCTGCTAAACCCAGGCTTTTGAGTTCAATCCTTGAGGGGGTCATTCTGTGTGACTGTTGTTTTTGTTTCTCCTTGATGTAAAGCCACCCCCTTTGTTGATTTTAATTCCCTATAAGCCAACCCTGTAAGCCATGTCATCAGTCGCCCCCCCTTCGTCAGAGCAATGGCAGACAATCGTTCCGCGCCTTTTTTCTGTGCAGACGCCATACCACAGCAAGCATGGAGGCCGCTCAGATCACTTTGGCAATTAGGAGCACATTAAACACCACGTGCATTATCCAGCAGTATATGCAGCACCAGAACCTGGCAAAGTGAAACCGGGTGAGTAGGCGACGGCAGCATGGTGATGAGAATGATGAGGACATGGACACAGACTTCTCTCAAAGCACGGGGCCCTGGCAATGCGGGCATTATGGTGCTAATGGGGCAGGTTCATGCCGCGGAACACCGATTCTGGGCGCCGGAAAACAAGCGCAGACTGGTGGGACCGCATAGTGTTGCAGGTCTGGGACGATTCCCAGTGGCTGCGAAACTTTCGCATGCGTAAGGGCACTTTCATGGAACTTTGTGACTTGCTTTCCCCTCTCCTGAAGCGCATGAATACCAAGATGAGAGCAGCCCTCACAGTTGAGAAGCGTGTGGCAATAGCCCTGTGGAAGCTTGCAACGCCAGACAGCTACTGGTCAGTTGGGAATCAATTTGGAGTGGGCAAATCTACTGTGGGGGCTGCTGTGATGCAAGTAGCCAACGCAATCAAAGATCTGCTGATATCAACGATAATGACCCTGGGAAATGTGCCGGTCATAGTGGATGGCTTTGCTGCAATGGGATTCTCTAATTGTGGTGGGGCAATAGACGGAACCCATATCCCTATCTTGGCACCGGAGCACCAAGCCGGCAAGTACATAAATCCCAAGGGATACTTTTCAATAGTGCTGCAAGCACTGATGGATCACAAGGGACGTTTCACCAACATCAACGTGGGATGGCCGGGAAAGGTACATGACGCTTGCATCTTCAGGAACTCTGGTCTGTTTCAAAAGTTGCAGGAAGGGACTTTATTCCCAGACCAGAAAATAACTGTTGGGGATGTTGAAATGCCTATAGTTATCTTTGGGGACCCAGCCTACCCCTTAATGCCATGGCTCATGAAGCTGTACACAGGCAGCCTGGACAGTAGTCAGGAGCTGTTCAACTACAGGCTGAGCAAGTGTAGAATGGTGGTAGAATGTGCATTTGGATGTTTAAAAGCGCGCTGGCGCAGTTACTGACTCAGTTAGAGCTCAGCGAAACCAATATTCCCACTGTTATTACTGCTTGCTGTGCGCTCCACAATATCTGTGAGAGTAAGGGGGAGACGTTTATGGCGGGGTGGGAGGTTGAGGCAAATCGCCTGGCCACTGGTTACGCGCAGCCAGACACCAGGGCGGTTAGAAGAGCACAGGAGGGCGTGGTGCGCATCAGAGAAGCTTTGAAAACCAGTTTCATGACTGGCCAGGCTACGGAGTGAAAGTTCTGTTTGTTTCTCCTTGATGAAACCCCCCGCTCCTTGGTTCACTCTACTTCCCTGTAAGCTAACCACCCTCCCCTCCCTTTGATCACCGCTTGCAGAGGCAATAAAGTCATTGTTGCTTCACATTCATGCACCGTTTATTAATTCATCACACAAATAGGGGGATAACTGCCAAGGTAGCCCGGGAGGGGTGGTGGAGGAGAGAAGCACTGGGAGGGGTGAGGAGGGAAGGACAAGGCCACACAGCACTTTAAAAGTTTAAAACTTTAAAACTTATTGAATGCCAGCCTTCTGTTGCTTGGGCAGTCCTCTGGGGTGGAGTGGCTGGGTGGCCAGAGGCGCCCCCACCACGTTCTTGGGCGTCTGGGTGAGGAGGCTATGGAACTTGGGGAGGAGGGCGGTTGGTTACACAGGGGCTGTAGTGGCGGTCTGTGCTCCAGCTGCCTTTCCTGCAGCTCAACCATGTGCTGGAGCATATTAGTTTGATCCACCAGCAGACTCAGCATTGAATCCTGCCTCCTCTCATCACGCTGCCACCACCTTTCAGCTTCAGCCCTCTCTTCAGCCCACCACTTACTCTCCTCAGCCCACCACCTCTCCTCCCGATCATTTTGTGCTTTCCTGCACTCTGACATTGTCTGCCTCCATGCATTCGTCCGTGCTCTGTCAGTGTGTGAGGACAGCATGAGCTCAGAGAACATTTCATCACGAGTGCGTCTTTTTTGCCTTCTAATCTTCACTCTCCTCTGGGAAGGAGAAGATCCTGTGATCCTTGAAACACATGCAGCTAGTGGAGAAAAAAAAAGGGACAGTGGTATTTAAAAAGACACATTTTATAGAACAATGGGTACACTCTTTCACTGTAAACCTTGCTGTTAACATTACATACATAGCACATGTGCTTTCATTACAAGGTCGCATTTTGCCTCCCCCCAATACGTGGCTAGCCCCTCACCCCTTCCCCCTCCCCATGGCTAACAGTGGGGAACGTTTCTGTTCAGCCACAGGCAAACAGCCCAGCAGGAACGGCACCTCTGAATGTCCCCTTAAGAAAAGCACCCTATTTCAACCAGGTGACCATGAATGATATCACTCTCCTGAGGAAGCCCTCTACACCAACATTCCACACAAAGGTGGACTACAAGCCGTCAGGAACACTATCCCCGATAATGTCACGGCTAACCTGATGGCTGAACTTTGTGACTTTGTCCTTACCCATAACTATTTCACATTTGGGGACAATGTATACCTTCAGATCAGCGGCACTGCTATGGGTACCCGCATGGCCCCACAGTATGCCAACATTTTTATGGCTGATTTAGAACAACGCTTCCTCAGCTCTCGTCCCCTAAAGCCGCTACTCTACTTGCGCTATATTGATGACATCTTCATCATCTGGACCCATGGAAAAGAAGCCCTTGAGGAATTCCACCATGATTTCAACAATTTCCATCCCACCACCAACCTCAGCCTGGTCCAGTCCACACGAGAGATCCACTTCCTGGACACTACAGTGCTAATAAACAATGGTCACATAAACACCACCCTATACCAGAAACCTACTGACCGCTATTCCTACCTGCATGCCTCCAGCTTTCACCCTGACCACACCACACGATCCATTGTCTATAGCCAAGCTCTGCGATACAACCGCATTTGCTCCAACCCCTCAGACAGAGACAAACACCTACAAGATCTCCATCAAGCATTCTTACAACTACAATACCCACCTGCTGAAGTGAAGAAACAAATTGATAGAGCCAGAAGAGTTCCCAGAAGTTACCTACTACAGGACAGGCCTAACAAAGAAAATAACAGAACGCCACTAGCCGTCACCTTCAGCCCCCAACTAAAACCCCTCCAACGCATTATTAAGGATCTACAACGTATCCTAAAGGATGACCCAACACTCTCACAAATCTTGGGAGACAGGCCAGTCCTTGCCTACAGACAGCCCCGCAACCTGAAGCAAATACTCACCAACAACCACATACCACACAACAGAACCACTAACCCAGGAACTTATCCTTGCAACAAAGCCCGTTGCCAATTGTGCCCACATATCTATTCAGGGGACACCATCACAGGGCCTAATAACATCAGCCACACTATCAGAGGCTCGTTCACCTGCACATCCACCAATGTGATATATGCCATCATGTGCCAGCAATGCCCCTCTGCCATTTACATTGGTCAAACTGGACAGTCTCTACGTAAAAGAATAAATGGACACAAATCAGATGTCAAGAATTATAACATTCATAAACCAGTCGGAGAACACTTCAATCTCTCTGGTCACGCAATCACAGACATGAAGGTCGCTATCTTAAAACAAAAAAACTTCAAATCCAGACTCCAGCGAGAAACTGCTGAATTGGAATTCATTTGCAAATTGGATACTATTAATTTAGGCTTAAATAGAGACTGGGAGTGGCTAAGTCATTATGCAAGGTAGCCTATTTCCCCTTGTTTTTTCCTACCCCCCCCCCTCCCAGATGCTCTGGTTTAACTTGGATTTAAACTTGGAGAGTGGTCAGTTTGGATGAGCTATTACCAGCAGGAGAGTGAGTTTGTGTGTGTGGTTTTTGGGAGGGGGGTGAGGGGGTGAGAGAACCTGGATTTGTGCAGGAAATGGCCCAACTTGATTATCATGCACATTGTGTAAAGAGTTGTCACTTTGGATGGGCTATCACCAGCAGGAGAGTGAATTTGTGTGGGGGGGTGGAGGGTGAGAACCTGGATTTGTACTGGAAATGGCCCAACCTGATGATCACTTTAGATAAGCTATTACCAGCAGGACAGTGGGCTGGGAGGAGGTATTGTTTCATATTCTCTGTGTGTATATAAAGTCTGCTGCAGTTTCCACGGTATGCATCCGATGAAGTGAGCTGTAGCTCACGAAAGCTCATGCTCAAATAAATTGGTTAGTCTCTAAGGTGCCACAAGTACTCCTTTTCTTTTTGCGAATACAGACTAACACGGCTGTTACTCTGAAACACTCTCCTGAGGATAACACAGAGAGATAAAGAACGGATGTTGGTTAAATGTCAGCAAACATACACTGCAATGCTTTGTTCTACAATGATTCCCGAGTACGTGCTACTGGCCTGGTGTGGCAAAGTGTCCTACCATGGTGGACGGAATAAGGCTGTCCTCTCCAGAAACCTTTTGCAAAGGCTTTGGGAGTACATCCAGGAGAGCCGCAAACGCCAGGGCAAATTAATCATTAAACATGCTTGCTTTAAACCATGTATACTATTTTAAAAGGTACACTCACCAGAGGTCTCTTCTCCACCTGGTGGGTCTGAGAGGCAGCTTTGGGTGGGTTCGTGGGGTACTGGCTCCAGGTCCAGGGTGAGAAATAGTTCCTGGCTGTCGGGAAAACCAGTTTCTCCACTTGCTTGCTATGAGCTATCTACAGCTTCATCATCATCATCTTCCTCATCCCCAAAACCTGATTCTGTGTTGCCTCCATCTCCATTGAAGGAGTCAAACAACACGTCTGGGATAGTGGTGGCTGAACCCCCTAAAATGGCATGCAGCTCATCATAGAAGCGGCATGTTTGGGGCTCTGACCCGGAGCGGCCATTTGCCTCTCTGGTTTTCTGGTAGGCTTGCCTCAGCTCCCTAAGTTTCATGTGGCACTGCTTCAGGTCCCTGTTATGGCCTCTGTCCTTCATGCCCTGGGAGATTTTGACAAATGTTTTGGCATTTCGAAAACTGGAACGGAGTTCTGATAGCACAGATTCCTCTCCCCATACAGCGATCAGATCCCTTACCTCCCGTTCAGTCCATGCTGGAGCTCTTTTGTGATTCTGGGACTCCATCATGGTCACCTCTGCTGATGAGCTCTGCACTCACCTGCAGCTTGCCACGCTGGCCAAACAGGAAATTGAAATTCAAAAGTTCGCGGGCCTTTTCCTGTCTACCTGGCCAGTGCATCTGAGTTGAGAGTGCTGTCCAGAGCGGTCACAATGGAGCACTCTGGGATAGGTCCGGGAGGCCAATACCGTCTACTTGCATCCACAGTACCCCAAATTTGACCCAGCAAGGCCAATTTCAGTGCTAATCCCCTTGTCGGGTGGAGTAAGGAAATCGATTTTAAGAGCCCTTTAAGTCGAAAAAAGGGCTTCATCATGTGGACGGGTGCCAGGTTAAATCGATATAACGCTGCTAAATTCAACCTCAACTCCTAGTGTCGACCAGGGCTTATGGCCCTAAAAGGGGAGTAGCAGACCACTACACCATGTTTCTAGCCAAGTTACTTTTAGCTAATTTAATAACAAATTGTTGAACATATGCATCTTACTCTTACAATGAGCTCTTGCCTATATATATTTGGGTGCATAGGGCCCATAGACTCTATGAATTTAAGTAATTCACTACTAGATAATTTTCAGAAAGTGATAAAAAATATTTTAGAGGTGCCAGCACAAGCTGTGTAATGGCTCAGTGCATGTTATATAATGATGTTGTTCAAGTCTTCATAAAATACAAGTAAAGTAATAGTGGTCTTGTATTTCTTTTTAATTCTACCTTAGGTTGCTCTGGTAGCAATAAATATAATTGGGGAACCTGCAGACTACAGCAATGACAGCAATAACGTAAGTATATAAAGTAAATTATGGAAGAAAGTTTCCATCTCAAACATAGACTGTCCGTTGAATGTTGCTACACATACTTAATAATGATGTGCTTCACCTGTAGGGTGCCTTTTGATTTTTGTTGTTGTTACATTAGTGTTGTTTAAACAGAGCTGTCATGCACTTATTTTCTGTTTTTTGGTTGGTTGGTCTTTTTAATGTAATTTTGAAAAGAAATTCCCTTGGAAGGAGTAAACCAAAATAGCATAACGGAACTGAGTATGTTTGGAACAAATGCTGCTGTTCTCTTATAGTACAGTAAATATAAATGATAGCGTTTTTTATTTTAAAACGTACTGTGTAATTTGCATATAATAGTTTTGCCATGTTTGCTTTTTACTGTTGTGCTAAACAAAACTAGTATTTTGTCAGAGATGTAGTAAAAACTCTAACATTGTGAGACCTTGTTATATATGTGAGTTTGTTTGAAGATACTGTTAATTCAACTTAGTTATTTAAGTCTAAAAATAGAGGCATATAGAAAAAGGCATGACATGATGTCTCACATTTAATTTTAATTGTTTGACTCTATAGTTTCTATCCTGTTCACAAAAAAATTGGTGACATTTCATTAACCTTTTTCTTTCAAAGCCTTCAAGAGAGAAGCTGATTGACCATTACCTTGGGAACAATCTAGATGACCTAACCTTAGATGGAACATACCTTCGGTAAGATTTCTCTGCTGAGATTTGGATCAGAGGAGTTAATAAAACTAGTGACCCGATGAGCTATACTTATAAACAATTTTAGGTGCCAGAACTTTGTCATTTCCAAGCTGTGAATTGTGCTGATTATTGTTGAACTTCAGCACTTAATTATGTCTTACATGCTTAGTGAATGAACAGAGTGCAGTCACATTCTGTTGGGTCTTTTCTTCATCAGCTACCCTTGTGTCTTATATCTCAGAAACGTTGTTCCTTAAATGCAAAATTTGAACCCAAGCGGTTGTTACAGAATTGATAGCACTAGCTATTCTTGGCGTCTTGTTAACCAGCCCAACTTTAACTACTATTCATCCTATTTTCCTGTTTAACATTTACAGTGTGGTTGCCATCACAACATGTATGCTGGCTGTCAGGGATTCAACCAATGTGGCGGCACTGCAAATTTGGCCAGTGGTAGTTCTTCTATCAGGTGACAGATGAGGAGAGTAGTTTGGCTAACAGACTAGCCTATACTCTCCAGAAGCTAGCTAGATCTCTGAGTCTTACTGAGTTACTCTCCTACCGATAATATTGTCATAGCAAACAGCCATGTCAGAGAGCACTAACTGTTTCTCAGTTAGGCTTTTTAGGCTGCATAATTACATGGCCCACATATTTCAAACCTCTACAAAAGCCATACAAATTGTGCCTACAGAAGCCCTCTTTTGGGCATGCAGATCAAGTAACTGACTCAGTTTGTATGCTAGTAAATGTGCAGTTACTTGATTTACACACATGTTGGTTTTTGCATGTGTTGGCGGTGTATGAACAATCTGTGTCCATTGCATAGGATTTTGATACTTTGGCCTACAATACTTCCTGCTTGTTCTGATCAAATTGATCCAATCTTAGCATTATTTGTTCAGAATAATCAGCAGATTATGAATTACCTGTATGACAACTAGAGGTCATATCATTGCATGCCTAGTACACAAAAACACTCTATCAGAATAACACAATATTTTAGTTTTCAGGAATCTTATATTTCTGGATCTTTTTTCTTTGTTCATTTTAAAAATGTTAGCATCTCACTTAAAAGAAGAGACTGTTACTCTCAGTCATAAATTCATATATTTTTAAGGTCAGAAGGAACCATTGTGATCGTCTAGGATTCTAGTCTGAACTGTATAACGCAGACCTTACAGAAATTACTGGGTGAAATACTATCAAACCCCTATTTTGTGGTTGGGTTAGAGAATATATGTTTAGAAAGACATCCAATTGTCATTGAAAGACTTAAATGATGGAGAATCTACCATGTTCCTTGATAAGATGTTCTAGTGGTTAATTTCCCTTGTAAGTAGAAGGCATTTTCTTTTGAATAAAAGACAATTTTCTGTGGACACTGACAAACTGTTTACTTACTAACATCACTGCAGTCATACCAACATCGACTAGTGCTAGAGGCGGCATTTTCCAGTTTATCTGATTTGAAGGAAGAAGCACCTCAAATTGGATCTGGGCTGGGAGAACGAGGTTTTGGTGAATGATGGAAATAACAGGAGTATAATAATTAGCTATTACCTAGTACTTTAAACCTTCAGAGCCGTTATAAACATTACAACAGACATCTGCTCTTCTTCCTTAGAAAATCTCAATGACCAGAGTCTTGAGGAGCTCTTTCATTTACATAGAAGTGTGATAATTTAATCATATAGATGTCACTGAAAACAACAGATCACATCAAAGTCTCGTTAGTGGTAGGTCTAGAACATTGAGTTAGGGGATAACATATCCAGTAAACTTCAATGTAGAGTAAAATGGAAAATATACATTTGCTTAAATGTTATTGAACCCAACAGAAGAAATAACTCTTACAAGAGCTAAACTTGTATTTCAAAGTAAAACAGGAAAAATGTGACTTTGATGAGCCATTTAAAATAAGTGAGATCCACAGTATATTGAAGAATGAGAAAAAAATAATTGTCATCTTAATATATATTAATCTTCTCACAGCAAAAAGAGAAGGAATATATGTAGCTGGTGCTTCAGATTAACCTCAAAAAAATATATATATATTTCTCCAGAAAACCTGACTCTATTTCACCACTGGATGATTTGGCTTTTGATATGTACCAGGATCCGGAAGTTGCTCAGATAATTCGTAAACTGGATGAGAAAAAGCATGAAGCTGTCCGTCATGAACGTTATGACTATGCCAAGAAACTCAAACAAGCTATTGCTGATTTGCAAAAGGTACTGTTTAATAACCGTCATGTCACAAATCCATGAGTTTTTCATTTGTCCATAAGATGGTCCTCAATCTTTGCAGTAAAATGCATTTTTGGTGGCTGCAGGTCACCCCTCTGATGTGTTTAAAAATAACAAATGAAGAGTCAGACAATTGAGTTTTACAGGCTGGAATTCTATATACATTTAAAAGAATGTGATTTCCAGCAACCTTAATGACATGAAAGCACCATTTTTCAGGTTGGGGAACGACTCGGGCGGTATGAGGTAGAAAAGCGCTGTGCTGTAGAGAAGGAAGATTATGATCTTGCTAAACAGAAGAAACAGCAGATGGAAGAGTACCGCCTGAAGGTGTATCAGCAACTGGAGCTGCACAACCTTCTGGATCCAGAGCTGATGGTAGGGATCACTAGTCATAATATAAAAATAAACACATGGTGGCTTGACTCATAGGGCTTTATCAAGTGGTATTATATGTATCTGAGAAGCTAAAATAAACTCAAGGGATAGGACTCATTAGGTAATTGTCATAGAGTATTTTTGTTAAATCTTTATTTTTTTTACTTGGATTGTTAGTTGCTCACATAGCATCAGACGTTGGCTTTCTCTGCTGTTGATCTGTACTCATCTAGTTTTTCCAGCCATATACACTTAGTGGTTTATAAATAATAATGAAAAGGCACTAACAATCACAGTTACACTAGAAATACTCACATGTTTTGTCTAATTTAAAGGCCATCCAGCATAGAGTCACAGATTTTCAAGGATAAAAGAGACCATTAGATCACTTAGTCTGACCTAAATGTAATCAAGACACGTGGCTTTCTCATATTACTAAGCACCTCTTGTTGTTGCTAACGTACATGCATAAAGGGCTTCTGGTGGCTTGACTGCAAACCACAGGAGTTCAAAATGAGGACATACCACAATCCCAAGGGGTATTTATAGCTTGGAAAGCTATTGGGAAACCATTATTTGCCAATTAGGTGAGGCTCCTTATAATCTGTAGTCTTCTCCCTTGTGTTGCTTTGCTGTTATGCCAGACACCTGCATTTAGAGCCACGATTTCCACTAATTTTTATAAGTGACGTTGTGTTGGTTCGAAAGCAGCTGATGTAGTAGTGGTGACTGAGCTTCACTTTCAGCATTTTAGTTTGAAGCCATGTCCGGAAATCTGATTGTACAAACTTGCCCTTTCTTGTCTCAGATCCGAAGACCTCCTGAATTTCCCCTTGAGCCTATGGTTTATTCAGTTAGCCCTCGGCAAAAGAAACCCATGCAGTCACCCCAGCATGAAAAAACAGAAGCACAGAAGACTGAGCCTTTGCCACAAGAAAAGCCACCTGAGACAACTTCTCCTGAGCCCATTGTCCCTGACCACTCCGTTTCTCATGTAGCCCAGCCACCAGCCTCTGTAGAGAGTTTTCCAAAGATAAATGTAAGTGATCTTGTTTATCTGAGTCTTCTCTGATTTGAGGCCTCCCACATTTGCAAGAGATCATCATATAATCATGTCCAGCCAAAAGTCACCTTTCTTGGCCATTTCTATAGGAATCTACCAAAGAAAATGATTTTCTTATTACATTGAGCTTCCTATAGGAATCTGATCATCTTTTGGTTATGCTGATGTCTCATATGGCATCAGAGGTTGGCTTTCTCTGCTGTTAATCTGTGTTCATCTAGTAATAATGATGCTTGTGTGAGACCCTTGAAAGCCTTTACAAACATTCATGAAGATGAGTTAAGTAAGATTAGACCCAATTTACGAATAGGGAAACTGACATAAAGAGAGGTTAAGTGACTTGTCCAAGGTCACACTGCTGACTCACTTTAGAGCTGGGCTACAACTCAGCCTGTTCCTCTAATGATCTGATAACACTCCTCTTTTAGAAATGATCATGTGTGATTCTAGGCTCAGGGCCAAAACAGCAGCAAAGAATATGCTAGAATGAGACTGAAGAACACAGTAATGGCTTGATGTCACGTGCATCATGAGGGAAAGTAATCCAGGCAGTAATTGTAATAAAATTCTTGGAACCAGAAACACTAAGACTATGTCTACACTGCAGTTAAAAACCCTAGTCTGGCCCATGCCAGCTGACTCGGGCTCACAGGGCTGGAGCTGCGGGGCTGTTTCATTGCAGTATAGATATCCAGGCTCAGGCTGGAGCCCAGGCTCTAGGATCCTGTGAGGTGGGATGGCCTGGTGCTCAGACTACAGCCGGAGCTGGAACATCTGCACTGCAGTTAAACAACCTCTTAGCCTGAGCCCAAGTCAGATGCACCCTCCAGCTCTAGATGTCTAATTGCAGTGCAGACATAACCAGTAAGGCCAGCCCAATTTCCTCTGAAGCCAATGGAGACTCCCATTGACTTCATTAGGAGTTGGATTGGACTCTAAGAGCAGCAGCAATCTCTTTACAGCACACTGGAGTAAAATAATGTAACTGTTTACATTGTCTTCATATCTGGAGAGTGGCTATAAATGGAATTCCATAATATTTTTATCTTATCTGCTTAATGTCATATAAAATATATCCTTAGTACTGACTTCCATTCTGAAAGCACTGTTGCCATGGTAACAGGATGATAAAAAATGAAAACTTCCAAACCTGCATTTAAAATGCAGGAGATACAACTCTGGAGAAAAGTCTGGATGGACTGTGTTGAAATGAATCAAAGTAGTGATGGAACAACATCAGATCTGAATCACAATTAGAATTACTTTCCTTGTCTTCTCCATTAGGTTGAATTTTTGCCTTACGATGAGAGACCTCTTCCAGCTATTCGTAAGCAGCATGAGGATGGATTTGCCTACCTTGAGCCAGAGATGAATGAAGAAGATATCAGTGATACTCCAAGAAGTGGCATCACTGGGGAGCCAGAACCATTAACTGAGAAAGCACTGAGGGAGGCCAGCCCTGCCACTGAAGTTTTCGGAGAGGCCTTGGTAAAGACCAGAAAAATAAACCATTTCACATTTATAATCCAGATCTTGAGTCATTTTAGAATTCACTTTGTGAACAAAAGCATGATGAGATAATAGCTTCATATATGTAATGATTAAATAGAACTGCAAATCTAAAGTTTGGTATTACTGTCACTAGTATTAAAATCAGGTGCCTATTTTCAGCATTTACATGGCTACCTAACTTTCGGTTGTTAATGAGCTGATTACATATTATCAGAGGAATCTATTATATCTAGATAAGTTTGTGTAGATTTAGCTCATCCATTTTCAGGAGTGAGATAAGAAGAGGTTTACAGATTATCTGCTCTAGAATTTGTCCTCTGATGAAAGTTTCACTGTTAGTGTCACAGCGAATGGTGCTTTGTTGGTAGATAGGTAGTTGCCAAAATCTGGGTTAGTTTGTTGAGGTTAAGGTATTAATCCCATTTCCTTTGGTATAAAGTCTCATTTTTCCTTTAAGCAATTTTATGGGAGAGATTTTCAAGAATACAAAAGAAGTAAGATGCCTCAGTCCCATTGAAAGTAAATGGGATTTGGGTGCCTAATTCCCATTTTGCCTTTGCAAATCTCTTCCTGTGTCACACTAAATTATGCATTGAGTTGCCAGTATTAGCCGTTTTAACAGTAATCTTACTCTGTATCAGGTTGCAGGAGCATATTCCAAGACTTGGTCGTATCGAGAAGATGCATTGCTTGCTATATATAAAAAGCTGATGGAAATCTCTGCCAGCACATCTAAGGATGATTTAAAGAATATGCTTAGAGCTGCTGTCTTTCTTATAAGAAGAGCCATAAAAGACATAGTGTCTTCAGTGAGTAATACTGTTTCATAATAAAAATATCCTCATTGAAGCTCCAGTCCTGCACAGCCTTGTGCAAGGCTATACTCACATGGAACAAGTTGCAGGATCAGGGCCTAGTAAGTGAAGGCTTTTAGTTGAGAAAATAATTGTAATTTAATAATATTAAATATCTGAATAGCCTACACTCTAAAAGGGAATGCTGTTATATTAACTTTGGCTTTGAATTATAGTTGCAATTTTACAAAAATGTGAGTTCATGCAGGTTTTTAATTGCTGCCGAATTTAGGGAACTGCATAATATACAGAGGTAAATAGTTTATAAAATGTGAGCATCTTGGGTTGTCTGTGTATTGCATGCCATGAAGAATAGTGACTGTGCTCAATAAATAAGTTTTTTGTGAAACTTTTATACAGCACTTAAATGCTATAGTAGAAAGAGAAACGTAGGTTATTTAGCAAATAATATATTTTATGGGTAAGGCTCCGTGTTCTGTGACTTTCCGTGACCTCTGTGACTTCTGCAGCAGCCAGTGCACTTGGCCCAGGGGCTGCCTGAGCAGCTCAGGGTACACCAGCCTCTGCTGGGGCAGTCTCAGGCCCTCCCACCCCTAGCAGCAGGAGTATGGGCGTGGGGGGGCTCAGGGCTGGGGGTTGAGGTGTGGGACAGTGCTTACCTGGTCGGGGGGAGGCTCCCCGGAAGGGCGACAAAAACTCCCCTCCCTCAGCTCCTAGCTCCACGTGCTGCTTCTGCCCGCAGGTACCGCCCCTGCAGCTCCCATTGGCCATGGTTCCCAGCCAATGGGAGCTGCAGAACCAGGGCTTGGGACAGAGCGGAGGCAGCAAGTGGAACTAGGAGCTGGGATCACCGCTTCCTAGGAGCCAGGTAGGAAGCCTGCCCCAGTCCCACCAACCCCCTTTCCCCGAGCCCCCGCGGCGCCCCCAGGGCCACCCTCCCAAGCTGACCCCTTCCTAAATTTTAGTCAGGGGTATATAATAGAAGTCATGGACAGGTCACAGGCCGTGAATTTTTGTTTACTGCCTGTGACCTATCCATGTCTTTTACTTAGTATACCTGTGACTAAAATGTAGCCTTATTTATGGATAATGTACCCTGTAATTATCCGCTGTGCTCCACAAAACATGAATGAAAGCTGAGAATCCTAAAATTCATCTTAAATTTAACAATTTAATTTTGTAAAATACCCAAAGAACAAGTAACAGTTAAATTTGCATAGCAGAAGTATGTAGTTAAATCAACTTGGTTCTTGCAATAAATAGTTTGTGCAGACTTTTTCAGAATGAATAAAGAAAGCTAGACTATCTGCCTTTACTTGAATATCTGCCTTAACTTAAGTCATTTAATCTAGGGTTGGACAAAATCAAGGCAATATTTTCCACATTTGTGTAAGTCAAAGTTGAGTAATGGGCTTGAAGAAGTAACTATGGATACAGTATGTATTAAAATTGGGCTATACTACTTTATAAAGTTGATACAGGGAACAGAAGAGATTGCAGAGGGGTAACTTTTAGTCTCCAGCTAGGCCTTAGGAGATGGGGAAAGTTCAGTTTTTTCAAGAGCTTGCTGGACTTTATAGAAAATCAGTAGAATATATTGTTTGGCCCTTCACTTAAGGATTTAACTCATATTTTCTAGAGGAAAAAAACTGAGGTCGCTTCCATTACCGTGTTTTCCATATTGGTAATTCTAGACTTTTGCTGTTTCTGTTAATTCTAGAAAACAGACTGAGTTATATTACATGGAAATAGGAAATTTTAAAATATTTTTTGTTTTAATAATCTTTTTAACTCAGGTTTTCCAAGCTTCCCTGAAACTTTTGAAAATGATCATCACTCAGTATATACCAAAGCATAAACTAGGTAAACTGGAAACAGCTCATTGTGTGGAAAGAACGCTTCCAAATCTGCTTTCTAGAACAGGAGACTCCTCAACCCGTCTTCGTATTGTGGCTGCCAACTTTATTCAGGTAGGAATGTCATCTGGAAATGCATATTAGATTGACTTTTAATACAACATTTAGCTGTTTTACCCACACATATGACAGACTGAGAATGCCACCAAGACACGGACTGCATGACATCTGTCCAAAATCAAATGTAAAAAGATATATTGGTGCTACAGTAATCAGTTTACTGCTGCTGGATTAACCTAAATAAGCTCCATATCATGGTTGTACGTTTTGACGCTGAGTGTTAATTACCCTTTTTGGTTTGAATGTGCTATTTCTGGTAAATACTTCATTACACATTCCACTATCATATTTTCATGCGGATTGTTAAGAGCCACCAAGGACTTCCAGACTCCTCGGCTGGCTGCCTCCTGGGCTGCTGAGCTCCCAAGCAGGCAGCCATGGAAGCCAGCTTGCCCTCGGGTCTGGAAGCCCTCCATCCCCAGCCCTAAGAAGGTCCACCCCAAAAGTTGCAAAACTTGGAAGCTCCAACAACTGCTGACTGAAATGGACATTCTTGTCTAAACTGCCAAGAAAGTCAATTTTAGTTTTGCCCTCTGGAAAGCGAGTTTCTTTTTTGGAAATGTAATGTGTTGGTGTATGAGAAGCAAAATATTTTTCAGGATTTCCAGTTCATAAGAAATTTCAAAATATTGTGCTGAACTGGAATTAAACCATATTTCAAAATGTTGAAATATCTCGTAAACTGGAACTCCTGAGATTCATCTTGTACTGCTTGTGAATGCAGGAGACAGAACTCTCACAGGATTTGGACCTAGACTGTGGACTTCACTCACAGAAGAGATAATGACCATGAACCTCACAGTAGTTGGAACTAACTCCATTTGTTTGACTTAGCTTCCTCACAATTACTTTTTCAGCAGCTTGCTCAAATCTACTGGTTGTGAAGTAATCTGCTAGTTTTCAGTCTACTCCTGCAAGAGCAGAATGGACACAAAGTTTAGTTTGCCATTTTTTTTTATTATTATTAATTTGAAGGGTACTGCAGTGATAAGAGCTAAGAAAGTACCTAGATAGTCCTTGTCTCCTATTTGTAATATGGTATAATTTTTGATTAAAAGAAAATATATTTACACTCAAACTAATTGTAAAATTATAAATAAACTTACCTGTTCTGTGACTGAATTTTAGGTCATTTTATAGAGTCATTTTAACCTAATTGCAATAAAAATTAAGGGAAATTTTCAATTAGAAGTAAACAAATGATGTAAATATCAGATTTAGCAAAAGTAAAAAAGGATGCCAATTTAAAAATTGACAATCCATTCCTTGTGTGGTGGCAGTGAGCATTTGTGAACAGCTGTTGAAGAAGTACAGACTCTGTTTTCCAGTAAAACTTCAAAGTAGGAACAGTAATTCTCTGTGTGTGTGTATATGTGTTAATATAATCCCAGGAGGATACTAGGTGAGTCACTGGCTCTGGGTTATTTTATCATTGCATTCATCAAGATTGGGAGAAAAGGTTTTTCTTTCACTACAGACTTGACTCAGATTTTAACAGGGATAGTGTGAGAACTGCTCTGGTTTGTCACTCTAAAGCCAAAGGTGGCTGCTTTTTTTTTTTAATACCTCTTGGCTCGTGTACACTAGATTTGTAATTGTATACTTGAAAGGAAATGAGGAAGCCATTACTGTTGTAGTTTTGTAGCCAGGACATAGAGTACTTGGCTTGGAAAAGGAGGAAGATATACTTAGTATATTATTGCTAGCAGAAAATAAAGCTTAATAGAACCTAAACAGTAAAACTTAAGAAATATTTAGAGTGACAGTGTAATATTCCTGTAGGATTTTTGTATGACATTTCCAAACAGGAGGTATAAAAGATGGTCAAGCAGCCCTTTTCCTATATACACTCGGTACCTTTTCCAGTAGGTTTGCCTCTTACTTGAAAAGTGAATGCAGATCATTCATGTGTCCTTTAAGAAATATGAACTAAGATTAAATGAAACATTGCTCCATAATCACTTAAAATCAAACCAATTTATGAAAGAAGCTGTTTCTCTACTGCCACTGCTACCACCACTTACTCCTTTGGCACAGGGCTCCCACACAGACCATGCAAATGAAAGCTTCATAAATTATCCTGTGCAATGCAGATCAGTGTTGTTCCTCCATGTGCATCCACTACATATTCTTTTGATCCTGGTGCAAGCTGCTTCACATGTCTCACTTTTCTCCTATAAGCTGTTACTCTCTCTTTCCTAGCCACTGGCAACCAATATTCAGTCAGTTGTGATGGCAAGACCAATAGTGGCTTATGGTCTGAGCTATGTTGCAGTAAACCTGTTACAACAGACTCTTCTTTCTGTACAACCTACCTGAACTAATGTCTGGCTCCTTCTCAATTTTTCCCCTTTTTGTCAGGTTTGCTTACAAGAGGACAGAGTGCAGTGATTTCAAAGGAATACTACCAGGCTTCATAGCCTCATGATCTGGTGCCTGTTACTTCCATACTTCTATTGTCACAACTGACTTGGGTGTTTCTTTTAATCTCCTTGTTGTTGGTAGCTCCTTAGACAAGTCAGGAAACCTTAGCTTAAATATACTTTTCTCCTTTTTCCTGTGACCTTATCAAATTTAAAGCACAACTATTAAACTAAATGTTATGACTTTTTTTGATGTTGAAGACAATAATGATGCTTGGCACCACACGGAAAGTAAAAATAAACCAGTGAACCAAATTACAAACATTACTTGAAATGTTAAAAAATTCAAACCAAAATCTTATCTTTGCGATGTGGCATTGAAGAAATGAAATGGGCACAAAAGTTAGTGTAATTTGAACACAAGTGAGACTCCAACTGCATTGACCATGTTTTAGGATTTAGAACTTATGTAGGAATGGAGAACTGTCCTAGAAATGTGCATTTCTTTACCCTTCATAAAAGCACAGAAGATATGAAAATGCTAGTCTTCACTGTTCATTAGTGGAAGGAACAATAATTGATTCATGCATATTAATATTTATTCACAGGGAAAAATAACTGGATTTATTTGTTAAATGTACTCTGTGTGTCAGATTCTGATCTGTTATGCTATATACTAGATCAGGCGCTGGTGGATTTAATCCAGGTTTCTTATTGAAAACAGAATCTAGCCTAATAAAACTAAAATGTTAAGTGAAAGTTACTGTATTTTTTTCTACGAACATGTTAAAATTATCAGTTTTGCACACACAGCTAGAATAGGTACTGTCTAGCATTGAAAGGACCAAACAGCAAGCATCTTATGACAATAGAATTCAGCTGTGAGGCTGTTTCCTTAGTAGATCAATAAAATGTGAGGTGGTAGATTTCCTCTGCTAAAGCACTTTCCTGAGATCAGTCTTGAGGCATTATCATTAGACTTCCTCTAGGAAATTTTCTCTCTCCTTCAGTTATCTAAAAACAAAAAAAAAAACTTAGTGTCCAATTCTGCAGGTCTTGTTCAGATGAGAGATCCCAGTGAAAACATATTTCCCAGCAGATGCAATGTGTGCATGTTCTCGGTCAATAAAGTTGTTGCCAATAGCAAGACTGACACTTTTTTCTTCTCTTTATGCTGTGTACAGCCGACTGTGTTGAAATAGTGAATAACCATCTTCCTCTCCTGAAAGGTTTATCTCATTGTAACTAACACAGGACATTCTTGGTCATGAGGTCCTGAATAACATTGGCTTTGCAAACCATTTCATCCTGTGTTTCAGCATTTTCCTGTGCGGGTTAACTCTGTATTTCCCTATAGGAAATGGCACTGTGTAATGAAGTTAAACCTCTTCAAATCATTCCGGTTCATCTGGTCCAGCCACTGAAACCAAATTCCCCTACTCATCTGGCAATGAGTCAGGTGGACTTGGTGGAACGCCTGTTGAAAGACCTGGGAACAGAAAACTCTGGGTTTACCATTGACAACGTCATGAGGGTAAGCGTCTGAAACTACAGTATTTTAAGTCTCTTTTTCTTGAATGAATGTTTATTTATTTGTGTTAGAGTGCCTGGTGCATACACCAGTCAGTGAGGCCCAGTGAGCTTCTCTAGGTGGCATTAGTCAACCTTGTGAAGATCCATAATGCAAAAGAAAATCTATAAAGGATACGTGGTTGGAGAAACATGTCTGTCTGTCTAACTAGGCAATATCAATGCTCCCACTGCAGTGGGCAGTCGCTCCTGATTAAGGGACAGATCCTTTGGTCTGACTGAGGTATGCTCAGCACACAGTGGAAATCGGGGCTGGCGAAGGTGGTTTAAAGCTATCTTTGTTTTTCCCCCAAATGTGGTGAGAATAGTCCAGCCCAGTTTAACTCCAGAAGAAAGTAAGAATAACCTTTTTCACCAATATTTTCAGTTTGCGACAGGGGCGTTGGAGCACAGAGTATATGAGGTACGCGATACAGCATTACGGATTATCTTCGACATGTACAGGCAGCACCAGGCCATTATACTGGATTATCTTCCTCCAGATGATGCCAACACACGCAAGAATGTTCTCTATAAAACACTCTTTGATGGATTTACTAAAATAGATGGTAGACTTACTGAGGCTGAGCTTAGGGTAAGTAATAAGACTGTGGAAAGTGTGCAGCTATGTTAAGATATTGTATTTTCAGCAGTGTCTTGGTGGAACCATGTATTGAATTTGTAGCTGCACTGATCGTAAAAAAAATGGTTATAACACTTACGGCAGAATTTCATAATTGTAAATATCACGGTCGTATAGTAAAAAAACAGACTTGCACTCACTTTACTATATAAACCCATTTATAATCACTGTTATGATAGGGATCAAGCATAGAAAAAAGCACAGGTTATATTTCTGAAACAGTAACAATATTTTCACATCAGTAAGGTAAAAATCTAGGGTCAGTGGCAGTATGGTCATTCTTTGACTGTGGGACGAATGGAAGATGTGTTAATTTATTCATTATCTGTCAGTGGGGTATTTACATGAGAGACAGGTCTAAATCATAATGCATTTCTTTAAAATTAGCATAGAAGATCCTTTTTTGTTTATATTGTAATGGACCAGTTGTTAGTTTTGCACACAGTAAGAAAACAACATTATGTTCTAGATTAAATGGTGTTTTTGCATCCTTCCCTGAGTGAAAGAGTATTACAAAACCACTGTAACTGAAAGAGTATTTCTTAACAGGCACAGAAAAAAGCAGCCACAGAAGAAGCAGAAAAACAGAAGAAAGAGGAGATTAAGGTCCTGCAAGGGCAGCTAGCAGCACTGAAGGAGATCCAGGCAGAAGTTCAGGCTGGAAAGGTCAATATCATTTTTTAGCAGATGTTCTGGGTTGAAATTATCTTGTAATGGTGGTATAATTACAGGTACTGGTCCTATTATTTTTTCCTGATGGATACTGGAAACAGATTAAGCTGCTGTGTTCTGTGAGATGAAGGCTGCTTTGTGATAACTCTGGTACTATATTAAACCACAAGAAGTTTAACTGAAATACATGAAGGGACTAGTCTTTACTCATGGCATAAAGAGAAGTCAAAATTAAAATTCTGTGCTTTGTTTTTGGTACAGTGGTACAAAAATTGCATCCATGTAGAATTGTTGAATCCATCGTGTGGTGTTTGGAGGCTGCTTCTACAAGCTTTAAAATGTCCAAGTACTTGTTAGAGCAGTGCAAGGGTACTATACATAATAACTCATGTAGGTCACTTTAGAATGATGCTATACTATATAATTGTCATCAATTGGATTTGAACATACGTGACTTTAAAAGGTTAGTAACTGCACCCTGATATGGTAGAGGGACTGTTGCCCACCCTGCTGCAATATATGTGTCTGTACCAAGGCAGGGAAAGGGATATATCTACTGGAGGAACACTGTTGTGTCCCAGCACTCAGGAGACATCCTCTTTGGGAAGGCTGTCTGTCTGCACCACAACCTGTGTTGCCTTGACCGTGCTTCTTGTTTGTTCACTGACTGGACTTTCTCTGGATTTATCTGTTCTTCTTTCTTGAAATACCAAGAAATTGTTCTTTCCTGGGTGGTGCCTTAGTCACCAAGGGAATTACTGACATCTATTTCTTTGTTTGGCAGGAGAAAGAAAATGATTATCAAAAACTAAAGACTCAAGGTAAAGCTTAAAACTATTCAACGAAACACAAAAACCAAATTAGCCTTGAAATGTTTTGGATGGGGAAGTAGTTAGGATACATAACCAATAGGTGACTGACTATGATATAATGCACGCTGACTCATCTGAGTTCAGAAACACACAGATCCTAGAGCTTTGGATTGGCTGACTCAATCTGACAGAGAGGATCATTCAGTCTTCAGGGGATAACTGACCATTTAGTGTGCTAACATTGGTTGCCATCAGCTAGGTGGGTGGTTTCTTACACCAACTCAGATTGGCTTGGATTGAAGCCAGTTTGCATTTCTCCTCACATTGAGGTGAAATCATCTGCTGCTTTATTTTCAAAATGTTCACCAGCATTTTAAGTGATGACTGTGTGTGCAAACAATCCATTGCTGTTGTTTTGTATATGGCAGCGTACTCAAAAGGCAAGCAATTGTCCTGCTGTATCCAGGAAGCATTTCCTCTTGTGCTTTTTGACGTTTAGGAATGTACTATTCCAAATAGTCAGTTGCCATTAAGACCTCGAGAAACAATATTTATCCAAAAAGAACTAAGAACCATCTATTGAGTTTAATAGATTCCTTATTACAGATGAGCAGGGAAAGAAAGTCACCCTACCTGCGGCAACAGAGATTCCAGATGATCATTCCTCGGTTGCAAATTATTTAGATAAGTAAGTAAAATCAGCAGCGTCTAACCACTTTAAAAGAGTAATTGCTAAAGAGCAGTTAGTGATCATCCAAATGCAAATATCTATACTGACATTTGTGGACAGTTCATTAAATAAGATTTAAATTGTTAAGTGTTAATAGGTGGCATTTTGAATATTTTAATTTCTTCCTCCTTATTCTTTATCTTCCAAAATAAATATACTTAATATTGGACAAATCAGGATTACATATCCTTCACCACTTGTACAGTGTGAGGTTTGTACATGTGTTTGAGAAGTTGTGTCCATGGATTAGAAAACTGTCACAATATAACAGCATATCACTGCTACAGAAACAGAGGCAAAACTAAGACTAAGATTGTCACACTGAAGAGCTTGATGAAGATCTAGAATGCTTTCTGAGATCAGGTAAACTGTCTAAGTGAGCCCTCCCCAGTATGTATTTGTAATAATGTCTCTCTCTTTGAGTGAACGTTTTTAGTTATAGCTACACTACAACTTTACAGAAGTCTCTGCCTGAGCCCAATCAGAGGCAGGTATTATGTAGGGAAGATGTTTTATACAAAAAAAAAAAACTGTCTATGTCACAGAATGATTTTATACTGGAAGGAGGTTCCCTTCCCTTGTTTCTTTCAGTAATCTATAGTGTTTGTTATTCTTCCTCTGTCTTCTCCAGCCTATGCATTTTTTGCGGTGAAAGGGATGAATCCTTCACAGAGGAAGGTTTGGATCTCCATTACTGGAAACATTGCCCTATGTTGACAAGATGTGAGCACTGCAAACAGGTCAGGCATTGGACTCAAAAGCCTGTATCAATATTCAACCTAACTTACACGTTCCAGAACTAACACAAGTAGTGAATTATTCTGTTGTCAATTGATAAGCTGCAAAAGGTGAAAACTGCTGTTTAACAAGAAGTTCAGTTTGTAGCAAAATCATTGTCATGGAAAATAACACGAGGAAAAGAGCAGTATAAGGAACCAAATTAACAACCAAAGTAAATCTGCTCAACATACTTGTCTATTTAAAATGTCACAGAACCATTAGAATGAGGAAACGGGAAAGGAAGGGGATCTCTCTTCTGGGTTAGGACAAATACCTTTTAAATAGTGTTGTTTGGAAGGAAAGGCTGTGTCACATCTATAGGGGAATCACTGCTATGCAGTATAAGCTGCGGATGCATGTGTGAAAATCAGAGCTCTTGCTGTGTGTGAAATTCTAAATCATTTCAGACCAGATGTCATATTGGGGGAGGAGAAGTTAGTGATACTCTTTCAGACTCCACCCACAAAATCAGCTCTGCCCACAGGAGACATGTAGTCATAGCTGTTTGCGCAGATGTTCAAATATGATCACGCATGCTCTCTGGGTTCGGCTTTTCCACCACTTGGGTCCTAATACACTGCTGACTCTGCTGGGCTCCTTGAGCTTGGCTTCTCCTTAATGGGATTCTGCTGGGCTCAACTCTTTCTTGATTGAGGGAGGAATGTAGCAGTGTCTCCCAAACCCATTTGCTGCAGTTGCCAAGGGGAGCTGTCATTCACGGTAGATGGTGCATGAGCAGATTTTCATAATGTAACCCTCCCTCTCCTTTTTTACACAGTCTGACAATCAGTTGTATTGTTAACATTTTAGGCATCTCAGTAAGCTCCCATTGAGATGAATCGGGCAGCTAATAACACTCAGTGCCGTTGGTTCAGGTTCTGCAAACGTGGGCAGGCATCACTTTATCAGTTACACTCCATACATGTTTTTGAGCTGTGTTGATAATTATCGCATCTAGAGACTAGATTTTGTCTTTTAAAAAGTGTTGAGATTCTGGAGAACAAGGCAGCATGCCATATGACTACTAACCAGCTCAGTGTGGGCCCTGTTTCAGATATGTATTTATTTGTGGGGACACTTTAACATTCCAGTGTTACCTGTCGAGTAGCTTGCTCCAATTTGTCATAAACTGAAAGTGCAAAACAAATGTAACTTACACCTCAGGTGGGCAGAAGAGGGATGTAGCCAGAGAAGCAATTAAAACAAGGACTAAAAAGCGAGAGGCCTGGGACAGCTTATTTCAATTCCTTTTCCTGTTCCTTCTCCCACCTCTGCCTTTCTGTTCTTTAGTGTGTAAGCACCATTATTTTGTACACCCACTGACTTTTAGATTAGTCCAAATGTACTTCAGTATTTACATCTGCTTTGTGACCAACTTCTACCTGAAGTTCAGCTTACAACACCACTTGTGGACCCCAAGACTTCCATGGGAGTTGCATCCATTTATTTCATGATGAACTTGGCCTAGGAGCCCTTACTGAGGTGTTTAATGTGAAACTTTCATTGATTTACTCAACCACTGGCAGTCAAGATGGCTTTGAAGCATCTATCTAGATGCTGCTTGATATGTTGTACAAAGATTATCCCAGGAAGAAGCATGTGTTCCTGTTTTGTCCCATGCCTGCCTGTACGTACATGCAGTGTTAGCAACTTCTGTGTTCATACACAGTACAATACATGGAATCATTTCTAACTGTATTTCAAGGTAAGAATAGAGTTAAACACAGGAACAAGTTTTAAGTTACCTTTCCTTGTTTTATTTTTAAGCTTATAACGATACATTTTTGCTTTAAATTTGCAGGTTACAGGTGTATGAAACACAAGCAGAATGTTACCAGACTTAGGCATTTTGAAATTTTACCCTGAGTCCTATTTTCAAAGGTGAATTAGGAGCCCAAGTCTCATTAATTTTCAATGACATTTAAGCTTGTAGGTGCCTAAGTCACTTTTAAAAATGAGACTTGAGCTCTAAAGTCACTTAAGATCTTTTGAAAATATTATTCTTAATTTCATAGCCCAATACAAGTCTATTCCTGTATTTCTTGTATTCTCAGCCACCTGTCTGTGTTCCTGTTGCAGGTGGTGGAGATAGCAAGCCTGACAGAGCACTTGCTGACTGAGTGTGATAAAAAAGATGGCTTTGGGAAATGTCAGCGCTGTAGTGAGGCCATTCTAAAAGAGGAACTGCCCAAACATGTGAAGGGCAAGACTTGCAATCGTGAGTAGTTTCAAATGGAATAAGTGAAGCCAGGGGGAGTTGCTCAATACCTCAAAAGCTCAATACCTTTGGAAAATCAAGCCTCTTCAACTTAGGTGCTGGTGTTGGAATCCTAACTTGAGGCTAAGGATTGAATATTTTTGGCCTAAATGTTTTTGCCTTTCAGTGCTCCCTGCACTTACCTCCAATTAATGCATGTGCAAGTGTCTTGTGAGCAAGAACAGAAAACCCCTGAAGATTGCTCCACGGTTTAGAGCACCCTCATTACTGTAGAACAAGCTGAAGGCACTTCTGTGTTTGCTTTTCTCCCTTTCCTTTTCATTTTTTCTCTTGATCATCGGTTTCTTGACTAGGCAGGGGAAGGTAGAATAGTAGCCAGTTCCATCCCGTGTTCACAGAAACTGGCGGAGATCAAGCTGCTCCTCTTGCATTGGGCAAAACGCGTGGCAGTAGCGTAACTTTTTTCCCTCTTTCTAATCATTTCAGCTGCAAAACCAGAAAAGGTGGCAAACCGCTGTCCATTGTGCCATGAAAACTTCGCCCCAGGAGAGGAGGTAAGAGAAAATGAGTGTAATGTCAAATTGGTCTTGGTAGTCTTGTCACTAAGACTTCAATAGTTTGTTCTTTAACACGGAAATTACCTACACTGCCTGAACATAACCATATCAAAAAGTGTCGGGATTCTCTGCCTGTGGCTTCAGAACAAGGTTAATAAATGCAAACTGGTAGCAAACTACTTTCAAAGGCTGTGCAAAACAGGAATTTAATGGCCACCTTACTTCTTCTGAGATCAGCCTTGAAGCAGGAAATGGTGCCTCCAATTCTCCCCCCACCTTAATTTGCTTTGCTAAGTGATTTGATGGAGTTACATTTAGGCTTGTTCAGGTTACAGCAGGAATTGATTATCTATGTTTGGCTTTCATTCAGAGGTCTCTTCTCAATCTGATCAAGACCGTAGTTAATAGGCAAAAGAATGAGACAATGTGTCATCTTAAACCCAAGGTGACTGTGAGATGTTCCAGATTTTGTCCTCAGTGCGGGCCAAAACTATTGAAATCTGCTTGCTTTTCTCAGTAAAATGACACCTAGCATTTCATTTTTCCTTTGATGCTGTAAAAAGTGTGTGCGCATTCACATGGCTGTGCACATGTGTAGATACAGAAATAGCGTTCGTATGAAAGACCTGCTATTTCTCTGCTTTTGTAACACCACTTGTTTCTTAATTGATCATAGGCCTGGAAATCTCACCTAATGGGCAAAGATGGCTGTCAAATGAATCTGCGGAGGGTGCCTACGCTAAATAAAACTCTGCTGATGCAGCCTGGTATGGATTTCCTTGTGATTACTATGCTTTTCACTTGGTTTACTTATTTAAGCGGAAGGCTCTATTCTAGAAAGCAAGTTGATCCTTAGTCAAGAACAGTTCAATGCATTATTCAAGTATTTGAATATGCTGACTCTGTATTTCTAAATATGTTGGTATAGAATAGCTCACACAGAGGGCAGATTACCCTCTGATACTCCAGTCAATCTCAATGACTTCATCACAGATGCGCTGTTGTAATGGAGTGGAGAAGTTGCCTCATTTTTAATTTTGTCTTATTGTTCGCTCATTTTATGGAGCAGCATACCACAAAGACTCTTCTTGCTGTAGTTGCCCTCTTATATCACACGGTATGCTATAAACCCAACAGATACAGTAGTGCACAGGCAGCTGCTTAAATGCTATATTGTCAATATGCCTCAGGCCTGAGAAGGGCCAATTAGAGATGCTAATCTAATCCTAACTATGGGATGGAGTGAAATGAATAGGTAGTCTTTATCTGTCCTGTAGAGAACTAGAAATTAGGACACTGGGTTGATAAGCATCAGACAAATGCCTGTGGCAGGTAGGTAGCTGGGAACTGAACTCTGACCATGAACTCATGTCACATATGGTGGGTCTCTGAACAGAGTGATGGTATGTTCATGTCAGATGTTAATGTTTACTCCCTGGCCTGGATTCAAATGTATGATCCATCTCCTGTTACCACTCCTGTGAGTAATCCTGTCACTTCAAAGTCAATCTTATTACTTCTGTCAATGTTGTAGCTAAGGCATGTACTTGAAATGCAAGAGATATGCAGTATTTGTTTGTGATTGATAATCTTTGTTCTTTTCCCAGGAAAAGCAGCAGGATTAACCATAACCAAATCAGGTCCTACAGCAACAAAGGTTCGATCCCCCTCTGTAGGAAGCAAGATCCCTGCCCCAAAAGGGGGCCTGAATAAAAGCACTGGCAGAACATATGCAAAGCGATGACATGAGAAGTACTCGTTTCCTTTGTCTCCATAACTGAGCAAGTTTTATGTAATGCACAACATTTCCAAGATTTGTTTGCAAGTGATAGGAGCCCCACATCATCCATTTCACCTGAACTACATGCTGCTGTTTATCAACCACAAATAGTGTTTGACTGCTTCATTTACCCAATAGTTAAAGCTTATATATTGGTTCTCTCTGTGTAGTGTTGTGTATAATTATCCCAAGAATCTGAATCTCACTGTTAGTCATCTGCAGTCTTTTAGGGACAAAGCCTCTGGCCTGCTACACTCCTTTTGCACTTCCTCAGTAGCACAGAGGGAGCAGAAAGCAGCTGAACCTTCCTTGGTGAGGATTCTCTCAGCATGGGGGAGTATAGATCCGGCATAGCCAGATCCTGAGCTACCCACTGCAGCAGCAACCAATGTAGAGATCCTGGCCAAAATATAGCATGCTTCAGCTGTCCCTGGTCAGTGTATGATCCCATGGGACGAGGGCGGTAGCCAGTGTAAACAAGAGCATCCTTGATGCTAGGACAAGTAAGGAACTGGCCTCAGGGTCAGGAAGCCACAACTGTCTCTCTTTTGGCCCTTCCTCGGGGCATAGCTGAGACTCTGAGTCCAACTAAATCAGGTTTTCAGAACAAAGCTTTGAGGTATCTGTTCCTTTGAACCAAAGCTAATGTTCACTGACAAATATTCCCAAACTGTTTAGAGAATGCAATCATTGTATCATGTGACTTTATCACTTTAATGAAGTCACTATAAAATTTGTTGGTAACTGTTCTCTGTCAAAACTTGCTTGGGTGTGTGACACAGTAAAATGAATAGTGTCACTACATATCTGATTGAGGGGGGGAAGTGCTAGTTGTACCGAAATAGAACTACAATAAGACTATAGTATCATTTACCCACAGTATGGGTCGACTAGGTGTATTTCTGCACCAGTCCAGCAAATCAAAACCAATCTACAGAGAAATTACCATATTTAGGCTTTGAAACACATCACTGAATATTAGAAACACAATAGCTGTATTGCGATCACAGTAGCTTTGCTGTCATTAAGTTTGTCATCGGAGTCCCACAACCCAACTGTTCTAACATACAGCTAACAAAAATTAAAGTAGAAAGTAAGTCTTGAGCAGCTAAAAATATTCCTTTATGAGACACTTTGAAATTCTCTAGCTGGCCAATGTTCCGTAGTCACAGAATGATGTGGGTAAACAATATGCTCTTTCTAGAAAAACTTTAACTGTTCTTACATTCCTTTGGGTTGGCTGTCTTACCTCCAGATCCAAGTTTGATATGATCAGTATAATGAATATTTCAGGTAGCAGCTTGTATATTATATAATAACTATGTATACTTATAAAAATATGCCTGTCTATACAGAGTACCTGTTAGACATTTATAGCAAGGGCTTAAGCATAAATTATTCTGTCAGTTAAAGTCACATTTAAAAAAGCAGATTGTACTTCCAAAACAATTATTTCATAAATATGATTAGATGGACTCTTGTGAACAGATACACACCTGGAGCAGTGAACTTGTGAAATATCAGTTTCCCTAAAATAAAACTCTACTAGAGCTGTTTAATTCAGAAATAACATTGCAGAGTCACCAGCGCAGGCCAGGAACATATTTTGAATCCTGCAAGACCCAACCTGTAGTTTCTCTCTACCCATAAGGTGCCCAGTTTATAAGCAGGACAAGAAACTGAAAAGTTTTTGTCAACTGCCTTGTTCTCTATTATCCACCCTAACATCTTGTAAAGCAAAATATCATCCCGTTCTCTGGAGACTGTAATTCTCCATTATGCCACATACTAACATGATTTGATAGTAATTCAGCAACAACCATTGACTGTGGGTACCATCTATATGTCTACAGCAATCCCATCTGTTCAGGGGTTTCTAATCATTCTGGGAGACAGATTGTTGGCTGAGGGGAAAAATTTTGTTTTAGCAAAAGTGGATGAAATAATTTTGGTCATTTAACTTACAGAACTGCAAAAAGCTAGTCATTTCTTCTGTATGCTTTAGCTCAAAACTGCCATGTTTCTAAACTGAGATTGTGCATAGTATTTTTTCTATAACAATGATTTATTCTTCATTTAGGACCAAATTCAACTCCCAGTGAAGTTTAGTGGAAAGATTCCGATTGACTTCAGTGAGTTTTGGATCAGCCCTTATAACAATACATGTCTGTGAGTAAAAGCTACCAGGAAGTGTAGCTTTGAAAAATGGTTTCTCTCGAAGGAGAGAAGTTACTGTTCAAAGGCTTTTACTACACTTTTCAGTGGGTTTTACGACATGCATTTGCTGTGCACAGTTAGTGCAGTACATATTCCAAAATGTTTCTCCAATAGACAATACAAGTTCCCAATAAATTAATTTTTTTTTTAGTCACCAAAGTGCTAGAAAAGTTGCTGTTTAAATGGCCTCTTTGACAACCACATAGTCTCCATCGATGATTTCCCCACCCTATTTGCTCAGACACCGTAATGCTTTCTGAACTGCAGACAAGAGACTAGCCTATTCATCAAAATGCATGGTGAAATCCTGGCCCTGTTGAATTCGATAGAAGTCTTGCTATTGACTTCAGTGGGGCTGGACTTTCACCCGCAGTCTAACTTACTCTACAGCTATGTGTTTGTGAGCAGCTGTTTGAAGTGTTACCCGTCTATTTATTATTTAACTTGCTGCACTTCTACATCACTTTCCACCCCCAGAGCTGAATACAATTGTTGCTCCATTGCCTAGTAGTCTGTGGGGATGGCAAAAGTTTCCTTTAGATAGAATTGTTTGATTTCATAAGAGTGGGCTAATAGAAACCTGCTACCAATAAAGGCTATAGAGTGGGAGGGGGAAATGTCTGTTACAGGAGAAAATACTTCTTGATTAGAAGGGAACAGTTTGCATAACCACAGGAATTTGCAGCTTATTAAATTGTTAATAACAATACTAGTGTAAATGCATAGTAAAATGTTGAACTGTATGCCCTCCCTTATGTGTGTGGACAAGCACCTTCCTTAGGTATTAGTAGGAGCACTGACCGTATGAGAAGGAAAATGTGGTATACCTCGTAGGTTCTGTCTCTCTCTAGGAAATTTGTGATCCATAATTTGCCACCCATGTAGCTCCACTGCTGGGAGCAATAGGGGAGGCGTATAGTCTTGAGACTGATTTCCCCTCTGTAACTCAGCCCACCAAAATGATCCTTGGAGACGCGAACAAAAGCCGTGTATACTGAGAGGAAAGACCCGGTACCTTTAGTGAAATTTGGCCTTCCCTTCTGCTTAATCATAAGTCTAGACTTTTCAAGGAGGAGTGCTGCCCAAATCCTAGTTAATGCCAAGACTCAGCTCCAAATAGAATCCCAGAGGTTGGCTGAATATTGCCTTAAAAATGGGGAAGGGTTTTAGGAACTGTAATTACTAAAAAGTAAAAATCCATTTAAAAAAAAATATATTTTAAAGCTTTAGCTCCAGTGACCTTCTCCCTTGGTTATTTTCAGTGCCCTAATTTCATAATAACAGTTTCTCTCATTAGCTTTTTAGTAAAATAAACATTCATAAATCGACATTCCACTGTGCAGTTCTGCTTTAAACAGAACACTGAGTTCTGAGGTGTAGTGTGTTAAAATTCATGTACACCCTGGAACAGCACTTAAAACACCTTTTATTCATTGTAAATTTCAGGATATTTCCTTCCAAGATAAAATTAATTGTTCTGCACCACTGTCCACAGCAGGATCCAGAAATATGGGATTATAGTAATCTGAAAGCAATATTTTTTCTTTTGCCACATTGATACGAATTTGCTGTATTTATTGTATTTTGTATATACTATATTTGTAGTGTACAGTTTTTAATAGAGCTTGTTTGTGTGCTCCGTGCATGTCTATGAATTTTATAAGCACATTGCAGCACTTGCATTTGAAATGCTGTTGTATGTAACCTTTAAACACTCCTTCACATATTTGTTAGAAATTAAACGGTCTCTCCATTTTAGAACCTGATCCTGTAGTCCATTATGCAGGCAAAAGTCCTGTTGACTTTGCTCAGAGTTTAGCCTGTGTAGTGACTGCAGGGTCAGTTGATAAGATCCCAGAGTACAGCTTACCTTTGAATGGTCCAAACCTGTAATCTTTTATACCTGGAATTCAATGGATCTACTCCTGTCTGGAAAGGTTTTCATGCGTGTAAATGTTTGCTGGATTGGGCCCTCCTGGGGTGCACTGCATTGGTAAATGTGACCCTTCTCAGAGTGTGGTGTCTTATGAATCAGATGATTAACAGTTAAAACAAAGGCATTTAGTTAAATCCTTCACATAACTGAAGCAGCAAATATGCTCGCTGTCTCTTAATTTGTGTAGGGGGCTGCCCAGAAAACAGGGCCAGGGGTAGACTTTTATAACTACGTCGTCTATAGGTTAAGCCCCAGGAATTGGAATAAAGGCCATATTCTATTCATATTCTGCTGTTACTCACCATTTTGAATAGCTGATAAATTTGGGGCTGAACCTGGCATTGTTTTCAGGAATTCAGTATTGCTTCTTTCTGACATCTCCAATCCTTTCCTTGGCTCGGACTCGCTCATCTCAAAGGTGTTCGAAAGTTGTGATGCTTAGGTCACTTGTCTAAAATGTGCATCTTCCCATTTCATGTGTCAGCACCTCACAGCAGGTGTATGAACTGCTTTCCTACTATCTTAAGCTACTTTCTAATGTTTAACTAGGCTCCTCGTCTGTGCAATAACTGCACAGGTTCCTTAAGTTCTACTAGTCAGTGCTAAATGCTTTCGGATTTATACTTGCTAATACAAAGACCCAAGGCAAACTTCAGCACTTTTGAACATTATTGGGACTGGGGACATTACTTACTGGATTTGAATTCCATAAATAAAATACAGAAAGGTTCAGAGAGACGCAACAAATATGATCCAGGGTGTGGAACGGCTTCCCTACACAGAGGGACGTAAGTGCTGCTCAGCTTAGAAAAGAGGTCACTAAGGGAGGCGGGATAGAATAGAGGTCTACAAAATCATGAGTGGTGTGGAAAAAGTGAATAGAGAAGTGTTATTTACTCTTTCACACAATACAAAAATCAGGGTCACCTGATGAAATTAACAGGCAGCAGGTTTAATACAAATAAGAGGAAGTATTTCTTCACACAAAGCACAACTAGCCTGTGAAACTGATTGCCATGGAATGTTGTGATGGCCAAAAATAAACTCCGTTAAAAAAAGAACTAAATAAGTTCATGGAGAATAGATGGACCAATGGCTATTAGCCAAGATAGTCAGGAATGCAACCACATGGTTGGGCAACTCGAAATCTCTGACTGCCAGAAGCCAGGAGGGGAAGACCAGTGGATCGCTTCCCCTGAAGCTCCGGTACCGGCCACTGTCAAAGACAGGAAACATGGCTAGATGGACCATTGGTCTGACCTAGTAACGCCATTCTTACATTATTTTGATAGCTTTTTTTTAAATGTTGCACATGTTATGTAAAGGAGAATGGTACTCATTTTTCTGCAGGCTAGCACCATGAAATTCTAAAATGCAAGCATCTCCTCTCTCCATGAATAAACTCAGGATTACATATTGTAAATAACGTTATTTCTCTTCTAACATTCCAGGCTTCTGGGATGAGCAGAATGGATCCAAATTTCTGCTGGCTGTATATGCCCTAGTAAACATCACAGCTGTAACTCACTCCTGGTGCTGCACTAATTCTGTTCTGTGCAGGTCTATGCACCTCAGGGCTTAAAGCACGGGCAGGTTATCACTGTTCCATCCGTACCATTGCTAGCACTAGAGGAGCCGCACCTTGCTGATGTCCTTCAGCTTTTGAGCAAAGTTAGATGAGACAGTAGCAAAAATAGCTGAGCCCTACACTACAGCTTCAACATCCGCTGTCTTCCAGTGGTTCCACCGCTGTTGAGTTACGGCTACATAGTTTGCTGGTGTCGATCATACCCAAAGGGATGTTGTGTTAACACTTTTTAAAGCTTTTAAATGTTTTTGTGTATTTGTGTGTTTTTTAATTTTCAGTGGAAACTTTGTTTACATGTAAACTTTCCCCTTCAGGGTTGTGATCCAAACACAACTTTGTGAACGTGACAAGGCAGGCCAGTTCTGTTTTCATTGTCTCCAGTGACTGATGTGGAAAAAGTAAACACAGCATAAATGGTGAAAAATAAATGCAGGTTTAAAATTCTGTTTGTCATAGTAAATATAGTAGGGTAATACCTAAAGTTTTAGTAACATAGGAACAAACTTTTTCTGATGACCTTTTAGCGAGCAGATCGAGGGACGTGATCGTTCCCCTCTATTCGACATTGGTGAGGCCTCATCTGGAGTACTGTGTCCAGTTTTGGGCCCCACACTACAAGAAGGATGTGGATAAATTGGAGAGAGTCCAGCGAAGGGCAAAAAAAATGATTAGGGGTCTAGAACACGAGACTTATGAGGAGAGGCTGAGGGAGCTGGGATTGTTTAGCCTGCAGAAGAGAAGAATGAGGGGGGATTTGATAGCTGCTTTCAACTACCTGAAAGGGGGTTCCAAAGAGGATGGCTCTAGACTGTTCTCAATGGTAGCAGATGACAGAACGAGGAGTAATGGTCTCAAGTTGCAGTGGGGGAGGTTTAGATTGGATATTAGGAAAACCTTTTTCACTAAGAGGGTGGTGAAACACTGGAATGCGTTACCTAGGGAGGTGGTAGAATCTCCTTCCTTAGAGGTTTTTAAGGTCAGGCTTGACAAAGCCCTGGCTGGGATGATTTAACTGGGAATTGGTCCTGCTTCGAGCAGGGGGTTGGACTAGATGACCTTCAGGGGTCCCTTCCAACCCTGATATTCTATGAACTCCAGCTCGTGGCTCTGCACGGCCCCCTGCCACTCAAAGTGCTCCAGCCCTGACTGGACGGCAAAGAGCAGGGCAGTGCGGTCGCCCAGGCACTTCTCGGGTGTCTGAGCCACAGCAGGAAGTAACGGCGGTGGCGGAGCGTTAGCAATGGGTGGAATCACCTATCCACCTGCCCAAGCCTGCCCGGGGCACCCGGCACCACGCAGTCCAGCGTCCTGCCCTTGGGGAAGGGTGCAGCGCCTCCCAAGAGGAGCCCAGGCTCAGGCTACTATGGGCCAGCTGGAGCCAGCCCCGGGGGGCCCAGTGCCCCCTGGACCCTGGCTCTAGTTGCCACAGCTGGTGCAGGTTGAGCAGCATGGCAGGAGACAGGAGACGCTCACGTCTGCCCTCAGCACTGTGTGCAGCCAGCAGCTGCCCTCCATGCTGGGCAGCGGACCCCTGCCAGCAGTTAGGCATCCGTGTGCCCCGCCTGGGACCCTGCACTCGACACCTGCCAGGAACACCGTCAGCAGGTCTGGCTCCAGCTTACCACTTCTCTAGCCTGGAGCTAGCCCATCCCAGGAGATGGAGAGATGTGCAGAGTGCTTCTGGTGTCCTGGCCTTGGGCCAACGGCAGGGCCACTCCCCAGGGCGGGCCTGCCAGGAAAGGTCTGGCTCCCCAGGCCACCACCTGAGGCCAAAACTGCTTGGCTTGATGCCCGAGCCGCAAATATCTGCATGGCCCTGCAGGGAGCTCCAAGCCTGGGACCCTCTGTGTGGAGAGTATTAATATTCCTCGCTATAACACCCCTTTATAATATTTTCTTGCTCTAATTGAGCAACATATGGCCCTAGTCATCTTGCTTTCTGGTAGTATACTGATACATACATGGGCATAATACCCCCTCTATTGGCAGAGCAATAGATTCACTCCTAGTGTTTTTACTAGAAGTTAGAGACATACTCTGAAGACACAGATAGCATTTGATGTTGCTGGTATCCGTGTTTCTGTAACATAGTGTATATTTTTTTGAAGTTTCTTTCAGTATGACAGGAGAATGTGAACTAGCTCTTTATGATACCAAGATAGAGTATACTTAATTATCCTACTTGGTTTGTTTGGCTTTTTGAAGTGTTTGGCTTTTATAGTGTGTCTCTTAAGAAGTTTGCATAGCTCTAGTTTATAATTATTACATTTTCACTGTTTGAAGAAACCCAATTCCCTTCATAGGGGAGTCTTGTAAATGAGGTTGATTAATCATTATCTCTTAATAATAATGGAATTAAATGTTCATCTTTTAAATATATCATCGGGTATCCAGATATGCTTGGCTTGATGCCCAAGCCGCAGCTACCCTCATGGCCCTGCAGGGAGCCCCAAGCCTGGGACCCTCTGTGCGGAGAGTATTAAAATCCCTTGCCATATAACACCCCTTTATAATATTTTCTTGCTCTAATTCACGAAGTCCACAAAGTACCAAAAACCATTTTCTAAATTATTTGGGAAATTAAACGGTTCCTATTTTATTTTTAACACATTTTATTTCACATCTAAAGGTTACATGTTGTATAATTAAGGTCAAATATGTGTGTGGATTTAAAGGGACAAATTCCTTTGGAAAAAATAGTATGTGCTTATGTAATTAAAGACAGGTTTCAGAGGAACAGCCGTGTTAGTCTGTATTCGCAAAAAGAAAAGGAGGACTTGTGGCACCTTAGAGACTAACCAATTTATTTGAGCATGAGCTTTCGTGAGCTACAGCTCACTTCATCAGAGTGTGATGAAAGCTCATGCTCAAATAAATTGGTTAGTCTCTAAGGAGCCACAAGTCCTCCTTTTCTTTTTGTAATTAAAGACTGTATCATAATTCATATGCAGAAAGGAGATGAATTAAGGCTGAATAGGCATTACTGGCATTTCCTAACTTTTGAGTGATTGACTTTGCACCTTAATAGTCGTTCACCATATTTTTTTTTTTTTTAATTTTTCTTTGCTACCCATTTGAGAGAATAGAGGTGGGAAAAGGAGAATGATTCCCTCCCCCACGTCTCCCTGCCTAGACTGGGGTAGCGAGCGCTCTCTCTTCTTCCAGTGTCCTTCAACCACACTCATTTCATGGAAATTTAGCCCCGTTTACCTCAGTGAAAGAAGGTACTTCCCATCCTTTGAGGCGAAGAAACCGGGCCCTTCTGAGCACTGCCACCTTGTGACAAAATGGCGCAGCCGGGCACCACCCACAGCCTGAAATCTGCCCTCAGCTTTGCACGCAGGGCTAGGCCAGGTCTACACTTAAAAACCAGATCGACCTCGGGCCTGCGCCACGCGGTTAGATCAGTGTCACCCCCCGCTGGCCCCAGTGGGCCCAGCAGCCGCCCGGGCGGCCTCTGGGAGCGGCTGTGAGTTCACCACCGACGGACGCCCGCGGCCGCAGGGCCCGGGGCCGCCGTTACACGGGGTTGCCAACCCTCCGGGATTGTGCCGGGGCCGCCAGGAGTGAAAGATCGATACCTTAATTTTAAAGCTGGTGGCATGGGACGGAGCCTCCAGGGAGTCACCCCCCCGGAACTGGCGACCCTCTGTGCGGCCCCGCAGATACACCCTCAGCCGGGGCCAGAGACCCCCCCACCCTGCAAGCGGCCTCCGGGCAGGTCGGCACTGAGGGGGGAAGGCTGGTGGGACACTCTAGCCTCCCTTTGGGCTGCTCTCTATGGCAGCCAGGCCCACTGCCCTGCCTTTGAAATGGCAACGGGACCCTCTAGCCTCTCCGGCGGCCCCTCGCTCTATGGCAGTGCCGGGTGTGGCGCGGCACGCTCTCGCCCGCCCTCCGGGCCGCTCTCTACGGTCTCTATGGTGAGACGCCCAAGCCCAGGCCAGCGCCGCCCCCGGAAGCAGTGCCGTGACCCGGAAGTGCGGGGTCGGCGGGCAGAATGGCGGACCCGGCCGCTTGGCCGGAGCTGGAGGCCGCGGAGCGGGAGCGGCGCCGGGAGCTGGTTCTCCCCGGCGCGGCGGTGGAGGCCCGCATCCGGGAGGGGGGCGGCCGCCTGCCCCCGCGGCTCCTGGCCCTGCCGCTGCTGCAGGCGCTGGAGCTGAGCGGCTGCGGGGCGCTGCGGGAGCTGGGCCCGGGGCTGGCGGCGGCGCTGCCGGCCCTGCACACCCTGGTGCTGCGCGGCAACGGGCTGGGCCCGGCGGGGCTGGGCGCTCCGGAGGGCCCGGGGCTGGGAGGCCCCCTGCCGGCCCTGCGGCTGCTGGACCTGTCCGGCAACGGGCTGGAGACGCTGCCCGCGGCGCTGGGGGGAGCCCTGGGCCCGGCCGGGCCCTGCGCTCCGGGGGGGGCCCCCGCCTTCCCCCAGCTGCGGAGCTTGAACCTCACCGGGAACCGGCTCCGGGAGCTGGGGCCGGGCTTGGCCCGGGACGCCCCCCAGCTCCAGACCCTGCTGCTCTCCGGGAACCGCCTGAGCGCCCTGCCCGGCGGCCTCCTGCCCCCGGGCGCCTCCAGCCTCCTCCCGCTGCTCAGCCAGCTGGAGGCAGCCGACAACGGGCTGCAGGAGCTGGGCTCTACCATCGCCAACCTGCCGGCCCTCAAGGTCAGGGGGGGAGGATGAGGAGAAGGGGCTGGGCAAAGAGACTGGCTACCCCTTGGGGGTGTGAGGTTGGGCCCCCCATACGGTGGGCGGAGAAGGG